GCCGCCGCCGCCGCGCCGCTGCCGTACCTCGCGGCACGGGGACGGCGGCCCGGCCACCAGGCGCGTCGTGCGGCCCGTGTACCGGCAAAAGAACTCGGTCACCTCGGCCTCGCACATTGCGGGCGGCGTGCCGGTTTCACCCCCTTTTTTCTCGCTTCTCTCGAGCCCTTCTGATTCGGGAGGGGGCGGCGGCGGGAGGCCGGGCTTGTCAACGGCCCCAAACTCTAATGGCGGAAGAAGAAAAAAGGTGCAAAAAGAAAAGAAAACGACAAAAACGAACAAGGCTATGCTATGCTCTGGAGGGTTGCTGGCTTCTTTTTCCTCCTCTTTTTCTTTCGAACTCGCTCCCCTTTGCCTGTCCTGACCCCTACCAGTCAGGTGTTGTTACCACGAAGACGCTGTCGGCCGGTCAGAGCGGGGGGCTCTGCGGCGCGCACAAGGCCTGTGATATATAAGTAAACGTCGGGCAGGTAGTCGACCTGTCTCTTTGTCCTCCCGCCTAGGGTGGCACTTGGGCTTATGATGCGACGATAGGGAGGGGCTTGTTTGTGCGTGCGGTGGCACGCGAACAATGGTATTGCCTGTCACAAAGGCATCCGCCGCTTTGTTTCTTTTTGTTGCCTGGTCTGGGTTGGGGTCGCCAATGTGAGCAAAAATGCTTGGGACAATCAATGGAGAGGGGAGAGAACGAATGAGGGACAGAGATGTCTCGTGAGCGGAGCTGCTATGACGCAGCAAAAACTTACGCAGGGCCTAGCAGATGTTTGTGAGCCCAAATGGAGGCTTAAAGGGGGATGGATGGTCGGTGGGCGTAGGGAGTAATATCGCGCGGGCGCTCAAGGTTGTGGTGCCTCGGTAGATGGTGAGGCGATGTGGCGGGCGGTGCTCTTTGGTGATATCCGAGGCTGAGGCCTTATTGGCAGCCGCGAGAGGCGAGGTGTGACGGTGTGTTTGTTGGGCACGCTGCGGCGGGCGATGGTCGAGTGACTTTCTTTCTTTTGCTTTTCTTTTTTCGTTTTTTCCTTCTTCTTCTTGTATCAGACCAGCACTGTTGTATCTCCAAGGAGATGGTCCGGGACGAAAAAAAAATACAAGAAAGGATATCCAAGTTTGTAGATAACAACAGGTGTGAATTTTACGAGTGCGTGGTGGGATGAAAGTGAGAGATGCTGGGATAAGCCCGGCCGGCGAGGATGAGAAGGACGATCTCTATAATATAGGCGGATAGCACCAAAGGCCACCGGCCCATCCCTCCTAGTTGTGGACGTCACGCCGCCGTCGCCTTCACCGGTGGACGGACGTCCAACCAAACGGGCCATGAGGAGAATGGGATAAGGGGCCATCGTCTGGCCACCCTTCGCGTTCCAACGCCGTGTTCCCATTCAGTAGGGGGATGCGTTTGCAACAAGTGCCCATTCGATTCCATGAGCGTGAGCAGGGAAGTGACTAGTAGCCAACTGCTCTCGTGCGCCAGTCGCGGCTCTTCTGCGCCGGAGCGTTACCTCTCTCTCTCTCTCACCCTCCCTCTCTTCCGTTCCTCTCCCGTTTGATTTCTTTTCTCTTCCATGAGCCCAGCTCCGGCGGCTCTGTCGGCTCCGGCGCTAGGCCCGGTGCCTTGTGCCATGCTCATGAGGTGTTTTTCAAACGCAAAACTGCCCATACCCCCCCGGTTTAGCCTGATGTTCGTGCTTGTGAGCCCAGAGCGTGGGCGAGCAACCAAACTCTAGGTCCCCCGATCCCGATCACAAGGACCCCCACTAGAGGTTGGAGGGTGATTTCTTTGTGGCAGCATAGCACCGGATTTCCTTATCTCTCTCTCTTTTTTTTTCTCACGCCCGCGTCCGGACTGACCCGGTGAATCGAACGGAGCAAACCCAATGCCGAGTTGGGTACTGGGCCTAGGCGGCTTGGCCGGGGGACCAATCTTTGAATGGCTTGATGGCCACGGGCGGTGGCCGGCCATTCACGCCAGGTCCCAAGAGAAGCTGACCAGAAAAATGCAATGCAAGCTGATGGATGAGCAACGCGAGCTGTGCCATGTCACCTTGTAGGACCATTGCAGATGGCAAAAAATGACGCGTCCCCCGCACTGCGCCCTCGGGACGTCCGTGTTTCCCCATGCGTTAACGATAATCATGAGAGAGAATTCGTACAGAGGCGACCCAACTAGACTTGAAAAAGAATCCAGTGAAACACAACAACCAATGATAAGGGACGAAGGTAATTAGTAAGCAAGGGGTATTATGATTTCTGATTTAGTTTTGTTCTCCTGTTTCCCAAGAAAAAGAAAAGTCACTCAGGAAAAAACTCTCCTCGAGGGAAGGGACGCCAAGTCCAACATAGCAACCGGGTAAGAGGAGCTAGAATGAGAGAATCGGGGTGACCACTAAAGGTGTCAAGAAATCTTCTCGAAAAGAGGAAAACCCACGTCCAAGATGAAGAATGCCCAAAAAGTGCGAGGGAGAACCATTCCTAGACTAGGCCCAAAGCAACAACCAATTACTACCTCCCATGCAAGTCGTGCTCACCGTGGCCGAGTTGAGCAAAGCAAATGGGGCTGGGGAATGGCCCATCCGACAGCCGAAGGGCGAAGACGAAAAAAAAGAAAAGAAAACTCCACACAAAACATCCTTCCTGGCTTGCTACTTTGTTGAATTCTCATAATCTGGCTGATGCTCAATATATGGCGCACAGCTGGCAGATTCCCACTCCCCAAAGCGCCCTTGCCGCCGTGCGCCATGGCGAGCATCTACTCTAAACCCTGCGGTACTAACCCATTCGGTTTGATGAGGCGAGGCTCTGCCTGACATTTGACGGAAGCTCGGCGGGGATGTCGTCGTTATCGTCATCATCGTCATCTCCATCCTCCGTCCCGTCTTCGTCTTCGTCGCCACCGACCTGTGCCGTGGAGTTCTCGGGGATAGAACCGCTGGGTTCGGGAGGCGGGGGTAACGAACAGGCCGTATAAGTTTCGGTCTCGGCATCGATCTGCGCCGCTAAATCGGGGGTGCCGCTCAAGTCGCTAGCCGCCGACGCACCTCGGGAGGTGGTGCCGGCGCTGGAAGATATCTCGATGGGTGCGCCTGCCTGGTGTTGCTGAGTGAGGGCTGATTGAGCTGATGAGGCTTGTATCGATGAGACTTGCGTGCTCGGCACGTTGGGCGAGGCCATGGCGGTGTTAGAACCATCGTCGTCGATCCTGGGTCGTTTGAAGGCCTCCCTAGCAGCGGCTCCGAGACCGTCGTCGGGCATCTCCCGCTTGATGGGCACGTTGACGCTGGAGAACCTATTTCCATTTGCCATTGCCGGTATGCCGTTTTGCTGGGTAAGGGGCACTGGTGTTATTGTGGGCGCTCCGGGCCTGTGGCTTGGCGACGGCGCGTTGCCGTCCATCTCGTTGGTAATGCCCATGCGCTGGCGCTCAGCCTCGATCTCGGCCCTAGTACGGCGCTCTCTGAGCTTGACACCGTACTTTTTGCGAATGATAGACTGTTTGGTGCCGAAGCTGTTGCGCAGGCCGTCTAGTTTCGTCCGGCGCTCGTTATGGTCGACGATGGCGTCGGCCTGCTTGAAGCGCTCGGCAAACTGCACCTCGGCTTGACGGAGTTCCTCGTTGAGGGATAGGCGTTGGTGATCCGTCAGATGCGCATAAGGATCTGCGCCGCTGACGGTGCGGCCCAGCAGGTTTGGCGTGCCCGACGACGGCGGCGTTGAGGTCATCGGCGCGTACTTGGCCTGGTGGGCCGAGGAAGGCATGTGGGGCGTGGGCGACGGGACCTGCGGCGAGCTGGCAGCAACACCAGCGGCATAGCCCTTCGGCATGTTCTGATGGGCGGGTGTAGGCCCGAAGTCGCCACATACCTTGTTGTTAAAATGCTGTGAGGGCGGTTAGAGCATGTATACGGCGACCAACGTTAGTCGAAGCCGGCGACTTACGTATTGCAGGCCGACAGCAGTGGTGAAACCCTGGCCACAGTATCGGCAGCACTGCTTGAACCCTCCCGGATTTGGCGGAACACGCGTGCAAACAGTCTTGGAGGTGTGCTAAAGCCAGAACAAGGGTTAGCGGCCGGTGACGACAGAATGAGAGAGATCCGATCCAAGACACTAACATATTCGTAAGCCGACTGTACGGTAAAGTGGCGGTAGCAGAGATTGCAGTTCCACGAAGCCTCTTGTCGAGGCGCAGGCGTGCTGGGTGTCTGAGGTGGGCCGACAGGATGACCTGGCATGAAGTTGGGAGGTTGCACTGGGGTACCAGCAGGCTGGCTAGAATTTTCGTCGTCCTCAGCATCATCAGCCTCGTATCCCAAACGCTCGGCGCGGCAGAGCGCATTGATGAGCGGCTTAGCCTCGATGGTGCGCAGGCGTTTTTCAAGTGCCTTGTCAAGGAACTCGTGCGAGGCCTTGGCTAGGATAATGTCAGAAACACTATCGATGTCGGCTTGGGACAAATGCTCCAAAAGGTCCGTCATGCTGGACTTGACGAGCTTAGAGCCAAAGTCCCGGATGGCGCGTTTGAGCGTTGACGACGTCGCGTTGTGGAGCGTCGCGTTGAGCTTGGAGCCGGTCATGTTAGCCACGTCCCGTCTTTTCTTTTCCTTCTTTCCTTTGCTTGTTTGTCTGCAAACAGCCGTAAAATCCAAGACGGCAGCCGACATCAACTTACAAGAAACGCCACGTGCGACTCACTGCCGATAAGGCACTTCTCCCAGTTGTCGCGCACAGCACGACGCACTGCCTGCGGAAGCGACTGGTGCATGGCAAAGGTGAGCCTGGCCAGGTCGTCGTCGAACTTGGGGTTGAGCGTGGCGTGGTCGACGGTGGGCGAGGGGAAACGGCCCGGCAGCCCGTCCATCTTGGCGCCCGGAGGGTCCATGATGGTCGGCTTGTTGCGCGGCCGTCCCGGCAGGCCCATTTTCCCAGGCGTCGACGGCGCCGACGGCGCCGACGGGGGCAGCGAGGGAGGCAGCGACGGCATGGCGTTTTGGTAGTATTGCTGGGGCTGGGGCTGGGGCTGCGGTTGCTGCTGCGGTTGCTGCTGCGGTTGCTGCTGTGGTTGCTGCTGTGGTTGCTGCTGCGGTGGCAGCTGTTGTTGCGGCTGCGGTTGCTGCTGCTGCTGCTGCTGCTGCTGCTGCTGCGTTGCTGCTGCTGCTGCGGTTGCTGCTGCTGCTGCGGTTGCTGCTGTGGTGGGATCGTGTGGTGGTGGGGGTAGAATGATGGCGTGCACTGCTCCTGCCGAGCCGTGTACACTGCGGGGTTCTGCTCCGGCGTCGATGCCGACGCAGGCCGGGGCGGGGGAGGCACAAAGTCGGGCGGCCTCGCGACCCGGGCGGGCACGCCGTTGCCCAAGTTGGGGCCTCTGGCCACGTACGTCTGCCAGAGACCAGGCGGGATGGCCGCGGACGGGGAAGTGGCACTGCTGCTGGGCGCCGGAGTGGCCGCCTGCGACGACTGCGGTGGCAGGTCCGAGACCACTGGTGCTGGGATGGGAGACTGTGCCGCCGTCGACATGCCTTTTTTTGCCCAAGCCGGGATCCGAGTGGTCACTGCCTGTGGCCCTGGCTATCTAGGGTGGTCTACGGTGCCCACCTGATGAGGATGAGAGCTCCTCCTCGCGGAGCTGTCTGTGCAAGTCCACCTCAGCAGATCACGACTTGACCAAAGATGGAAGTGGTCAAGAAGCACAATAATGGCAGCTCGAGGCCACGGAATGGAGGGGGGAGCAGTTGCTGCCCACGAGTCCCTTCCGAATCGGGCCCAACTCTGGGAGATGTTTGGCTCCTTCGTCCACCAATTAATGTGTGCGCGTCGTGAAGGAGGGTCGCGCGTGCACAGGGCGTCACGCGTCGAATCCGCCGTCACTATCGTCCCTTCCTTGATTGGGAAAGGCCGCCTAGGGACGAGTCCAAGATGAATAAGCCGGCTCCGCCTGGCGACTCGGATGCGTTTGCAGGTTCTGACTCGACGGGATCTCGATTCCTCTTCAAACGGGCAGGCGCCCTCAAAGGCTGGGGGCGGAGCCAAGGCGCGCAGGAAGCGGGCTGTGGCATTGACCCGGTTGTGGCCAGGTAGGAAAATACACTGAAAACGGGGGAAACAAGGGGCGACTTTGCAAAGTGCAAAAAAGGCAAACCGAACGGGGCGGCGGGTTATTTTATTTGCGCGTAAATCACGGTGGAGTTAATTATCACTAGTGCGGGGGTAAAAGTTGGTGTCTTGCTCGTCACGACTTGGTATTGTGGAACCTCACAGTGATTAGCCAAGCCACGTTTTATGTAATTATCCTGGCGTACCGGACGAGATACACTCGTCTCGTCGCGTTTCAACACTTCCCCACCTTGCAAGGCGCTGTGCACGGCTGTTTTCCTCTGACCGTGTCGCTTGCACTCTGATGCTTCACCAATTTTTCTTGGGATAACCAACAAGTGATCGTACAGCCTTCACAGCTCCCCAACCTCAACAACCAGTGACTGCGTCGCCATCTCCTTTAATGAGACCCGCTGTCAAACCAACAACAGGAGGCGGGAGCATCTCGGACCCCATGGAACTCTGCCGGTGCAATGCGCCGGCTAAACTCTTGAGATTGGGCACACCACTAACGAACATGAGGCATACAGAGTTAAGGTTAAGACCTGATATGAAGGCTAATATATCGAAACCACACCTACATTCGTGAGTGGGCGGCTGGGCAATCATGACAAACTTCCAGTCGGCCACGTCTAAACTGCTGCTGGCATACCCACTCCCTCCAAAACCAACAACCACCAAGACGCACATTTGCCTATCAATGCGGTGGCAACATTCGTTGGTGTTAATTCCAGTCGTTATGCTCCCAAAATAACAGCCCTACCTTCCTCGGTACCCACATGCCGTGCCAGTTTAAGTACCCCCTCCCTCAATAGCCACTCCACCAAGGGACATGGACACATTACTTCGTGTTGCCATCCCAGAAGCCAAAAAAAAAAAAAAAGAACACCCATACAATCGTGTTAATCCGACTTCACCAGACTGGCTTGGCGAAAACAAATCCTCCGTCTCAAAGATCGGCCATCGTATCCCCATCCACCCTCCCTCCCAACCATTGATGTCCCCCACCCCCTCCCGCCTTGGTCAGGCCGTCACCTCGCGACGCAGGCGAGCATCAGGCGCTTGTAGTCGCCGCTCGTCTCGCCGTCGATGCGCCTGGCAAGCGCCGTGCCGTACCGCTTCTCGAACGCGACGCGCACGTTGGCCATGTTGCTGCGGTCCCAGTGCGAGCGCACCACGCGGCTGACGAGCAGGTGGTCCTTGGTGCCCAGCCCGGCCATGGCGTCCTCGAGCAGCTTCGCCTGGTGCATGTACCGGTCCAGCGCGTACCGGAGCTGGTAGAGGAGTGCGTCTTCCATGTGACCGCTGAATTCCTGTGAGGTGGAAAGCAAGAACTGTTAGTTTCCCGAGCATTGAAGCGACCCAAAGGTCGGATATTCCATTTCTCCTCTCGGCGCTGGCATTTGTTCCTTACATTGCGAATCACTTCCTCGAGAGACCTGCTGTACTGCCTCTGGTACTCGACGGCAATGGCGCGTATCTGATTGTCGTTCCGCAGCGCAAACATGCTGCACACCAAGATCTCGTCGGTGCCAATCTTGCCCTCGGTGGCGGCGTACAGGTCCCGCACGTCGCGCTGCGTGTCGGCCGGCACGACGGGCGTCGAGTCCTCGGCGCGGACGGCCTGCATGACGATCTCGAACTGGCGCTTCGTCTTGAACGACAGGTCGCCCGAGACCATGTCCTCGAGCGGGCGGCGGTACACGCTCTGGAAGGTCTGCTTGATGGCGCGCAGGTCCGCGTTGGACCGGGCGAGCAGCACGTCGTTGAGCACGAGCTCCTTGGTTCCCGGCCCGCTCAGCGCCTTGTACAGCGACGTCACGTCGTGCAAGAGCGGGCCCTGCGCGAGCGCCACCAGCCCCTCCCTGAACCACGAGCCCGTCTCGCTCTCGATGTCCTTGATCAGGTCGCGGTTGAGGTTGCGCTGGAAGCCGTTGCGGATCGCGTCCACCTGCAGCGGGTCCTTGTCCGAGAGTATCCGGATGAGCGCCGCCTCGTCCGTGCCCCACCCCTTCATCGCGGCACGCAGCCCGTTGACGTCCGGCGACGGGTCCCAGTTGATCGACTGTGGCGCGTAGCCGAGCGAGGGAGGCGTCGGCGGAAAGTTGCCATAGGACGGTGCGCCGTACGGTGCGGGCGGTGCCCCCGGCGGCGCCGCGCCGTATCCTGGCTGCGGCGATATGGGTGGCTGGCCATAGCCCTGCTGGTGTGGTGGAGGCTGACCATACGGCGGCTGATGGGGTGGCTGATGAGAAGGCGGTGCGCTATATGAGGGCTGGCTACCATATAGCTCTACCGGTGGCGGACCTCCTCCATATGGTTGGTGATGCGGAGGATATTGTCCATGGGGCGGAGGCGGCTGCCCATATTGGCCATTTGGAGGTGCCGGCGAACCGTAAGCCTGTTGTTGTTGTTGTTGTTGGGGATAGGGGTAACCTGACGGGGGATATTGTTGCCCGCTGGGAGGCATTTGGCCATAGTAATTGCCTTGAGGAGGTTCTGTTGCGGTTTCACGGTCAGCAACCGACGGACGTGCGTCCAGCGTTTCCTCTGCGCGCGCACAAGCGCATGGGGCACGTACGGGCGCCGTAGGGCGGATATTGCTGTTGGTAGTAAGCCATGATGCCACTGATTGGCGACTGGTTCGCTGTGTAGGTAGATACCTAGGCAGGTGGTGGAAACGTGAACAGGAGGCGGTCGCGATTAGGGATTAGGATGAGGGAAGCAGAATGCAGATTGTAAAGAGGTGGGCGGCAACATGTGATTAAAGGTATGTTTGAGAACAGGACGAGGAGGTGGGATGGCTGGATGCGCCGCGCAACTCGACCCAAGACCTGACGACGTCAATCGGGCTGTGCCACCATCTCACTGGGCCGTCGGATTCGTCCTGGCGCCTCAGGTTGTGGGGCCAACTGCATGCCTACGGTCCGTACATGGAGGTACCGCCACCCTCACACTCCGTTGGGCTGTGGTTATTTGGGTTTTTGGCGGCTACCTGCCGGAAGGATCGATGTGATTGTGGCTGAGCGTGATGTTTTGGTTCCGAGGGTTTGCTGCAGCCTGGAATCCAGTATAATTGGCGACGTGATTCCACACTTGGATCAAATGAGCCATGAGCAATCGCAATCGGGAGGCCGCTGCCAGCGAGTGTCCCATGGAAAAAAAATATAGGTCGCCTCACTACAGGTATCGTCCAGAGTTGCCGCAGTTGCTTGCGCATGTGGCGATAGTGAGCAAGACAGCTCATCATTTTCTCCTGATGGTTGCACGGGGGCGCTGGTCATTGACACGAACAGCAAGGCGACGTCGGATGAGAACACAGCTAATCGGGTACCGGCGACTGCTTCATAGCTTAACTAACACAGGCGCGCTATCCCAGCTTGGGCTTGGTCTGGCACAGCGTTGTCCCTGTGTGCCACAGGTGGCACAACCCAGTGCTGATCCTTACGGGGAAAATGTCTGGCGAGTGAGGACCCGCCGACGAGGCTTGTTAAGCTTGTTTTTGGGGCCTTGCCTCCCCCACCATGGCACATGGCAGAGGAGGGAAAGTCACGTGACTGGCTGTTAGTGCCGCAGGCACTGTCACGTGTTCGCACACGTACTAGCCCCCACTAGGCAGGCTGTCCTTCCAAGCGAGTATCGTGTTAGTTTATCGATATAAACGAGCCCACGGTCTCACGGACTCCTTGCCGTGCCCTGTATCTTTTACCTCCCTTGACGGTATCGAGGTCGAGGGATGGGAGCGTGTGACTTTTTAGCACTGCCGCAAAAGTTACTGCCAGCCACTGCGATTTTGGAGGGCGTGGTTGGCTGATTCCACGAATTGAAGGCGGGGAGGTTGTGTCACACCATGCGGAGTGACAAGGATTCTGACCCACCCTTCCGATCTCCAACCAATCACCTCAACGTTCCTGATTCCTCAGGGCTCCCAACCACGCGATATTTGCGCCCCCTTGCTATTTACAGTATCAATATCAAGGATTCGTCAACTGGCCATGAGTCCAGCCTCGTGAATTTCTTCATCCCGTCTGAGGGCTATCAAATAAGTGGTGCCGCGTGTTCCTGCGGTTTGTGCATTCTCTCTTCTTTCTTCTTGAGCTCTGCGATTTGCCTGTCGTGCGCCTTCGTTTCTCACTTTCCCCAAACAGCAAGCCTCTAATCCCTGCTCGCTGTCTGGTTTTCCTGCACCATCATCTTGCGCCTGCATCATCTTGCAAGCAATCTTCAAGATGCGCTTCAGCCAGCTCCCGGTGCCCATCCTCGTGGCACTCTCTAGCTACTCCCTGCCCGGCGAATGCCTGCCCTTTGCAGGCCAGTCTCCTCGCAATGCGCCCGCCCAGCCGCCCAGGCCTAAGTACTCTGTCGTCCCCATTGATGGCGGCAACCCCAACTCGGGTTCCGGCTCCGGCGCCGGCGGGTCGGGGTCAGGCGCTGGCTCCAACCCCAAGCCCGAGGTCACGGTGATCAAGACACTGCCGCCCGCCACCGTCACCAAAACGTCAGCCCCAGAGACGGTGGTCGTCACGAGCTCGCCTAGTCCGGCGACGGTGACAAAGTCCATATCTATCATTGATATCATGCCCGCGCCCACGGACTCGCCCCCGGCAACTATCACCGTCACCAAAACTCCAAGCTCGAGCGCCGAAGAGGCACCACCAACAAAGAGCAGTGAGCCGTCGCCGGCCCCAAGCACGCCTGATGTCACACCCACCAGCGTCCCTTCATCCACCCCAAGCAGTAGCTCGTCCTATACCGGCTCCGCTGCCTCCAACTCAACTGTTTCGCACGATGCCACAGCATCATCTACCTCCAAGATCTTCATGACATCCTCCCTTGTCGCGTCAACATCTACGCACACTTCAATCGTCTCTGAGGCACCGTGGGAGACCAACCCCGCGAATACGACCAGCGCCTCCAGCACGCGCACCACCTCTAAAAGCACCATTTCGGTCGTCAGTACTGACTCGTTCACGCTCACCAGCACGACGTACGTGCCAACCACAGTGCTTGCGGCCACGACCTCATCGACCACCACGACACCAGACGACGGCTACTGGCATTCCGCCAAGTACCCGTCGTGGAACCGCACGATTCCCTACCATGGCCCCGCTCACCCACTGGTATAGCACGCGTCTGCCTGCATTTTCAGGACGCCACACCCTTTCCTTTGTCTCTCCTGCATTGCATTTCCGAGCGCGTTCTCTTCGCCATCCGCTTGCGCCACCCAGGCGCACGTGGACTTTTAATAATAACATGACAGCGGGAGCTGTCCAATACCTGCATTAATCAGCATTTGGGGAACGGGGAACGGACCGGCGGTATTTTCGGAGATTTCTGAGACGTAGACCAAGAGCTGGACGCGTTCCGGGGTAATGTACATGTGCATATAGGGTTACGATGGGTAGGCGTTTTTGCATATACAGGGGTCGTAGGTAGATGACCCTGATGGGAAATAATTCATGGACTTTTACGACAACCCCCAAGCCAAAGGCCCTTTGAAGTATGGTAGAGAAAGGCGATGTTGGCAATTGTTGTTCGCAAGCACGACAAAGCCTGGCCAAGTACAAACTCTCAAAGGCCATTGTTGAGCTTTACCAAGCTCTGTATAAACCGCCGGCCGATCTCGCCATTTCACACCATGATTTCCATCTTATCGGCCTCTTCACCCGAGTCAGCAGCGCAGATATCTTCGTACCCATCGCCCTCCCTATTGGAAAGTACAGAGCAAACCACGACTCGGCTTTTCCAAGATGGCGTCGAAAGCGACTGCGAGCTCCACGCCTGTCTCGCCTACCAGACCCGCGCCTACCCTTGCTCTGCCTCACCTATCTAGCATCTCCCAGCCTGACGATGTCGAGAGTCAGAGGGAGACGGCCCCGCCGGCGCGGGGCTGCTGGGGCCGTTTCAACCACTCCGTCCGGGACCGGTTGCGTTTTCTGTTCTCTTGGGACGTCTGCCTGCTATTTTTCTGCATTCTGTTCATGCTCGTCGTCATTGCTGCCATATTTTACACGGTCGTGAAGGTGTATATGAGGAACCAGGGTTGGGATGCCTGACGACGATCATGGCCAGAGAGAGATAGCCCGCATCTATCCCCTTTGCACTTCTGCCAACATTTCTAGAGATATGACAACCTTTTTCTAGGCAACCACAATGCAGGAATTTCTCCAAACCCCCCCTTTCTATCATAGTTGAATACTAAAAATTACTTTCTGTGACCTTCTGCCTGAACCGCCCCGTCCCCTTTTCCACATGCTGATGTTTCGTACTTTTTATTTGTTCAACCGAGGCGCCCTCTCGGGACTGCGCCAGTACAGGCACTCCTTGCGGCGGATGTCGTCCTTCTCGACCTTGGTGCCCCCCTCGGGGCGGACGACGAGCTGGTCGGCCGGCTCCGAGCCGAGGCCGTAGCCCGACGGCCTGTAGGCGGGCCACTCGGGGGCGCCGGGCCACCTGTGCGCGTTTGGGTCGCCGGCGGCGACGAAGCTGGCCAGGTAGGCGTGGTAGACGTGCGAGACGTCGACGTGCTGCGCCGTCGGCTCGTCCCACGTGTAGCGCGCGTCGGCCGTGTGCGGGATGCCCTGCCACGCGGGGGTGAAGTTGGGCGTGTCGAACCGCGCCTTCCACACGGGCACGCCGGCCGCGCCCGCCCGGTAGGCCGTCTCCTGGCCCGGGCAGATGTAGGCGTAGTCGCTCCAGGCGGCGGCGATGCGCTCGTACTGCGTGCTGTTGGGCGAGTTGGCGTAGGGCGAGTCCGGGCGCGCGGCCGGGTCCGGGTACAGGTCCTCGAGCAGCCGCAGGTCGGCGGCGTCGAGCGCGGGCGAGATGTTGTGCAGGTAGTCGAGGAACTGCTGGTTGGTCTCGAGGTTGCCGGGCACGTAGAACTTGCCCTCGTTGGTCGTCGTCGTCGTGATGGTCGGGACGTGGTGGAACGTGCCGTCGTACCCGGACTGCGAGCCGAACTTTTCCAGGAGCGGGCCCCCGGCCGTCGGCTGGAAGGGCCAGGTGAGGGGCCCGTCGCCCTCGAGGTAGAGCTTGGACGAGATGGAGCGGATCTTGGCGATGTCGGCGGCGCGCAGGCAGGCGAGCGCGGCCTCGTTGCCCTGGTCCTGCGGGCAGCCTAGGAACTGCATGTACTCGTTGAACTGGCGCACGTAGAGCGGGTACGTCGAGTTGGGGAAGGCGCGGGCCGTGACGGAGCCCGACTGGTGGATGGCGCCGCGGAACAGGCTGCGGCCGGCGTCCTCGCCGTAGTTGTGGAAGTAGTGGATGCCGACCGAGTGGCCGCCCGCGGAGCGCCCGCCGATGGTGACGGCGTCCGGGTCGCCGCCGAAGGAGGCGATGTGCCGCTGCACGAACTGCAGGAAGAAGTTCTGGTCGCGCAGCCCCAGGTTCAGCAGGCCCTCCTCCTCGAACAGGGTCGAGGGCAGGAAGCCGAGCGAGTTGAGGCGGTAGTGGAAGTTGACCACGGTGATGGGGACCTTGGACGAGGCGGCGAAGGCGGCGGCGTCGAAGCTGCGGTAGGACCCGAGGTAGAAGGAGCCGCCGTGGATCCACACCAGCACCGGCGTCTTCTGGTCGAGCGGCACGCCCCGGGTGCGGAAGACGTTGAAGCTGAGGCACGCCTCGTCCTCCTCCCCGGCCGGGATGGTGCCTGGTGGGCCCTGGACGCACGACTTGCCGAACCTGACGGCCGGCTTGACGCCGTCAAAGGGCGCGGGCCACGTCACGGGCCGGAAGCGTCCGTCGCCGACGGGCTGCGTCGAGTAGTCGATGCCCAGCCAGGCGTCGACGGGGGCGGGGAGCGGGCGGCCGGTCTGGGTCGAGTTGACGACGGTGCCGGAGAAGGAGCCGTAGTCGCCGAGCGAGATGGTGTTGTAGGCGTCGCAGCTGCCGTTGTCCTGGCCTAGGGCGGCGGACGGAAAGACGGCGGCCTGCAGCCCGGCGAGGAGCGCGTTTGCCCGTGAGAACCTCATGGCGGGTTCGGTGGGGGTGGCCTGGAGTAGGTGCGGTGACTGGGAGTAGGACGAGGAGGAGAGCGGGGCCTTGTGCCGGTCGACGGTCTGGTGATATATCCCGGCCAAGAGCCAAGCCCGGCGCATCTCCGTGGATGTTCCCCGAGGTCGGGGGTGTAAGGTGCGGTGTGTCTCCTCTTTCTGATGGCGTGCGATGTCACCTTCCCGCTGCGGCGACGCAGGTCCGTTGCAGCGGCGGCGAGTCATGGTTCCCCGACCCAGGTCAGGGCCGAACCCCTCTCGGCTAAGGATAGGTGTGGACTGGACGCGCCCGACAATCGGACTAGGCCGCTTGGCAGGCCGGAGGAGAGAAGGTACAGACTATGTTGTCGGTGTTGGAGTAGTAGCTCACCATATCCGGCACCAGGATGCAGCCCATAAACAACCCCTTGTCTGCCAGCCTTTTAGTCCTGTCTTTTCTGGACTGGCCGGAATACACGATCCGCCCTGGTCATCGTCAAGATTGCTCATACGACCGCACAAGCTCTCGTCGCTCCGGTTCGACTTCGACAAGCCACCATCTATCTATTGAGCCCCATTTCCTGCTCAAGCATTTCGTGCTCGATCCTCTGCTTGAGGCTTCTTATCTTTGGGTCAATCAAGGCCCTTTGGCATTCAGGCGGCGAGCACACCAGCCCGCCATGACAATAGTGGCGGGTTGGGTGTCTTGGTGCGGAATGAAATTTGTTTCCTGCCTTTTCTTGCACAATTTGCTGTTCATGACCCGTCAGCTCCGCCAAATCGTCCGTAATCAACCAAAGTGACTTAGGTTGCTGCTTGAAGGTGTGGGTTGCGAGAGTGAACCATGGTGCTGGCATGAACCTGCATGGTTACAGGCGAGGTCGAAACAAGTTATTGCTGTCGAATATCTCGAACCCAGTCACACCCCCAAGATAGCAGTGTAGAACTGCATCGTCACAAGGCCAGAGGCTCAGAGGCAGGTTTGATGGAGGCGTCCGGGAGGGAACCAGCAGTTATAATTCATGTACACAGGAAAAGAACAAGGTCTCGACGCCATCCCAGCCTTGTCCGAACCCCAGCTGCCTTGATTGACGGCAGGTCTTTCCCGACGTTGGACGAAGCTGTGTGAGACGCGAACCTTTTTTCAGAAGGCAGGGGACGACAGTGGATTTATCGGTTTCAGGCCTTGGCGAGGGGAACGGTTGGGCCTGTGTCCATGGGCCGGATCTCCTGGCAGACCTCGCACCGACCTGCCGCTTCGGTTCGGCGGGATCTGACAGCCTCCGGACCAGGGCAGCCGGGGAGTCCGTGGCCGGGCAGGCGAGCATGTTTTGAAACGAAAAATGATTAAAGTATGGGACGTGCAAGACCCTAATGTGTGCAAGCATCCGGCAAGCACCGAATGGGGCATCGGAATGGCATTGGCAATCGTCGCTACGCCACAATGCAGAAGCTTGGCTCCATGCTAAGAGCGGCATGGGAATCCGCCCATGGGAATCTCGCTGGGTGGGCTTGTGGGTTCCGATGGCTCCATAGGACGACATCGATGGACGGCCCGAGCATCAGATGTAGGCGATGCTGGCGCTAGGACTGCCCCGGATGCTAATAGACGAAGCATCCGCCGTTGGGCAGTGCCATTCCATCTTGGCACAGGGCCTGAGCCTGAGCCTGAGCCTGGGAAGGGGGTTCTAAAGGGCAAAAAGCAGCGTGCTCCTGGAGGTCGCGATTGGCAGCACAGTAGAGAAAGGAATTGACGCAGATCAAAAATCGAAACCGAGGCCATGCGGATCGCCTAGATTGGAAGCTCCGAGTCATTGCTTCCGTCCTAGCGTCCCACCCAGCGTCCTGGCTCCACCATCCGCCCGCACCAGGGTTGGCACCTGGTGCGTGCGCGCTGGCTGACCAACCACGCGGCGCTGTTGCTGCTTCGGCCCGGCGCCCCCAGCCTGGAAGCCCTGGCTGTCACCCAGAGCCTGAAACGCAGCAGCGGCGTCGATGAGACACTTTGGGCTTGCTGAGAGAGGACTACAGCCTTCAGCCCTGTCCCCCCCCCTTCAGTGCCCTGGCTGGCGGCTGGCGGCTGGGGCCTGTCCGTGATGCTAAAACAGCCATGACAGAAGAATCAGGCCACAATCCGAGCGGCGCAAAGCAGGCCCCGTCTCGAGATCGCTGTTGACGGGCTCTATATGGCAAAAACGAGAGCCAAGGGTCTCACGTCGCTGCTGTCGTTCGGGTCTTGGCGGGTTTCTTTTTGCCCTAGCGTGGAGAAGGAGCCATTTCGCTCCATTTCGTTCTGCGAGAGAAGCCGGGCGGCGGCCACGAGAACCGACGAGAGCGTTACTGCCCAGGCAAGGGCCGTCCTCTGCGCGAGCAAAGACCTGGCCTAGACCTAGACCCTGGCTCCGTCCGGGGCCCAGGCCCGCTTCCCTGGGGTTTTTTTTTTTTTTTAGCTATATTGCCCGACGATGCCATTCGTGTTTGCCTTCCAACGTGCTCGACGATGTTTACATCTACCTGATTTTGCGCGGTTGGTTCCAAGGCCTCACATCACATCGCGTGGACTGTCGTCATTGGTCGCCTGGCCATCTCGTCTTGGTCTCTGGCTTGCCATTCCACAACATACCGCCACTAACACTAGCATACACCATCTCCTTTGTTCGTATCGGATACCTGCAGCGACACGACTATCTGTCCAGGTGCTCCGCTCTCCTGTGAAATTACAGCACACAAGCCAAAAAAGAAAATCAGGGAAACAAGGTATGCATATCTACGGCTCAACTGCCATGTTGCACCCGAGTTGCGTTTTTGCCAGAGTTGGCAGCCCCCGCTGCTGCCGGCTACCTCGTATACTAACTCACAATGCGGTGCACCGTCCAGCTTCAAGTGCTAGCGATGCCGAGCGGAGAGGTGCGCGTGTGTTGCGAGGAGCTGATCGAGCCGAGCCCTATTGACGAGGAGCCCGAACTCGATGACCAGGATGCCACACCTGGAGCCCACGATATGCTGAGGCCGTGGGAGGCGGACAACAGGCGCTGGACCTTTTCCGACTCCGCAAAGTCCCCGAGGCACAACCTCAACCCGTCCGCCACTCCCACGGGAGTTGGTTCTACTCACAGCTACCGAAGTCGGCCCAGAGCCTCGACCATGATGCGCCTAGGTGCCTCCGGACTGCCACCGAACCCGAAGTCTAAGCCGTGGCCGACACACCGCCGCTCCGAATCCGACCTGGGGAGCAGGGGACGGAGCTTGTTTATTGATCATGAGAGGCTGGGATTTGAGACCCGTGGAAGGCAAGCCCTTTCTCGACCTCCCCGCTCGTCTGCGTCGCCCACTTTCGCAATGAGGCGTCCGGACAGCTCAAACGGAAGCACCTCGACTGTTATCCAGGCCCCTTTTGATGGGCCAGACACAGGCCACGAGAGCTACGCATCAGCCACCCGGGTTTCAGCGTCGTGCGAGGCTGGCATGTCACCTCCGCCCGTGATCCTGGTGCCTGACGCCCTCGAGTACCTGGACGAGGGCTCGCCTGAGGTGACAGAGGAGGCCATCCGGAGAAGCGTGGAGGAGGCGGGGGCGGCTTCGTCGACGTCTTGGCACTTCGCACCACCCCTCGGCTCTTCCAGGTCGTCGACTCGAGGGTCGCCGTGCCGGCCTAGCCACAGGACGACGAGCCCGCACTCGCCAGGCATGTCCAGCGCTGCCAGCGCCACGTCTTGCTCCGAGATGGTGGGCGATGATCCCGAGACGGACCGCAGCAGCAGCCCCGAGCGGAGCGTCAACGGCAATGGCGATGCCTCGGAGCGCGAATCACCCGTCAAGGGCGACTTCCTCACGGCACCCGAGTTCCGGCAGCCCAGAAACCTGCAGGAGCTTCAGAAGCTGGAGCAGGAGATTAGCAGACAGCACCACAACCGCTATGGCACTCCCGAGATGCCCCGCGGCCGTGCGAGCATCCCGCCCAGCGGTCGTACGAGCATCCCGCCCAGGGCGCTCAACCCTCGAGGCCCCAGCCAGGAGGCCATGAACCTGCCGCGCGCCGAGAAGCTCCCGCTCTCTGGATACGAGCTCCTCGCCTCCTGTCTGTCGGGCCCAGAGCACTGCTTGGGCTGGCACGAATCCGACCACAACCAACAGCAGCCGCCGGTGCACCGCACCCACCGACGCCATGCGAGCATGGGACCTCCAGCAGGGTCTGTGGGGATGCCGGCGCCGTCGCCGTGGCTGCAGCCGCATCAGCAACACCCGTCCATCAAGCCCATCTACCGTCGGTTCCAGGCACTCAGCCACCGCGTCCTCCTGAATCTGCAAGACGAGCTGAGCGTGCTGGAGGAGCAGCTGCACCGCCTGGACACGGCCGACACGCAGGCGCGCCGCATGCAAAGCCATATCATTCCCGCCTCCAGGCGTGGAGACAACCCGCGCGGCGGGGAGCTGCAGGTCCAGAAGACCGAGGTCCTCCAAAAGATTGAGGTCAAGCTCGGACAGTACAGTGAGTGTCCTACATCCAACCAAGGCCGTTCTGGGCCGGCGCGTGCTAACCCCAGCCATCTACAGATCAAGCGCTCGAGTCTTTTACCAAGACTCAGGGACTCTCGGTTCCGTCGACAAAGGAGGTGGACAACTACCGCACATATTTCGCAATGGAGAACCCCATCAGCGAGATGGAGACTCGCTTTCTCGACTGCCCGTACGACCTCATTTCTCTGGCTCCGGACGAGAAGTCGTCGGCACCCGTTTTCACCTACGCCACGGCGACCACGCGCATAGGCCGTAGCCGCAGCCGCAGCGACCTGCCGCTTAGGAACCACCACTACGCTACGGAAAACTACAAGCAGGATCAGGCCTCGGATGACAACAACCCGACCCCAGTCCAGGGCCAGACACCATTCCGGGCCTCTTCGCCGACGCCGACGGTCCTGTACCACCACCAGCGGCCCGACCCCGCCCGCTCCCTGTTCGCGACCTCGCGCCCCTCGCCCCTGTCGCGGCCGCCGACCACGGCCGCAAACGCCCATCGGCGCATCGGCTCCAACCTGTCGACGCGCTCGCCGGGCCTCGCCGACTGCCTCTCCTCGTCGTACCCCACGGACCGCACAGACCCGGGCTCGCCTATGTCTACCATGTCGCTGCACGACGGCGCCGACGCCAAGCCTGACCGCGCAGCTGCCGCGCGCCGCCCTGTGGTGCGCGTCGTCGTCGCCGGCACCGCCGCCGTCCTGGCGCCTGTGTCGGCATTCACCGTCATCCCGGGCTTCGCCTCGCGCATGGCCGTCGTGCTCCTCGTCCTGGCGCTCGCGGCCGTCGTGTGCGGCGGCAGCGGCTGGGCCAGGCGGGCCAAGGGCGCTGCCACCGCCGCCGCTGCCATTGATAAAACCGCCCCCCAGGCCGCGACCGAGTCGATCGACGACGAGGCGGCGCACGAGGGCAAGCAGGCCGAAGGGCCCGCCGCCGCCGCTGCGCTCCCTGTCGCCGCGGCATCCTACTCAGTGGTCGGCGGCTTCTCGACGCAGGACCTGCTCCTCTGTGCTGGGGCTTATGGGGGCGTCATGGCCGTCATCGCGGGCTCTTTTGCGTGAGGAAGGGGGCGGATTACCCATTTTATCTGGCATGGCCATCTCACTTCTTTTTCATTTCCTTTGTCTTTTTTTCTTGCATAGCAAGGCGTAAATACCCGACTGTCCCATTGAGGCCAAGCACAGCGACTTTCATATGTTCTCTTTTTTTTTTTTTTTTTTTTCTATACTTTTGCATCCATCTAGCATCTATGGCTACTTCTCTCGAATGGCGTACATATAGCATACATAGTACAAGTCAAGAAACAATATTTTCTCATCAGGCCCGTTGACACCGATGTGAATTGTTCTGGGGAGACGTCATTTCATTTCGACCCTCACAGGATCTCACAAAGACTATTTTTGGCTTGGGGAGTGCATGTGATCAGCTTGCCCGCTTACCTGCATCTAACATTAATAGCAACTGCGGGACGTAACGATTTGAGATACGAATTGAAGGATTCGTACCTGGAAAATGGTTATCTCCCGCTCACTCGTCCGTTTCGGGCAAGGCGCAACATCAGTCCACTCTGCCGCCCCGGCCCTCCACGTCATGGCCACCACTCCTGCGGGGGCCAGGGCCACCAACCGTACCCCTCGCCCGCTTCCGCCACGTCGTCGACGCTGAGACCGGCCACGTGCTCCTCCCCGCCTCCGACCCCGGCGGTGTCCCCCGCTGTGACGTGCGAATCTGTACTGCTGCCGTGGTCAATGTCCCCCAAAAACCGCTGACCAAACGAATCAACATCTTTGAATGCGGGGCGGCCGCCGCCTCCCATCACGGGCGGCGATGGCGAGGCCAGGTGATGGTGGTGGTGCTGGTGGTGTTGGTGGTCGAGCCCGAGCCCCGGCCCCTGAATGCCGGGTATGGGCTCTGCCAGGTACTCGGGCGACGTCAAGTGCGGCAAAAGGTGCTGGTTCTGCGACGGAAACGGGGTCGCGTCCGCGTGCTGCGGCGCCTGGCGGATCGGCAGCGGGGAAAAGTAGAGTGGCTGTAGGGGCTCCTGTGGAGGAGCTTCGATGGCCGCCAGGAAGGACTCGAGATTCTGCTTCACGGCGCGCAGGATAGCCACGGCGCGCTGCTGGGGACGGCCCGACGGCGACGAGGGGCCGAAGACGTGGTCCGCGACGGCCATGACCCTGTCGGCGAGTGGGTGGTCCGGATCCACGCATACCTGCACGAGCGGGAACAGGAGCGAGTGGTATTGGTGGTAGGCGCCGGCGTACCACGACCAGTGCGCCAGTTCGGGGTCCGTCTCGAGGGTAACGCCTGTCTCGATGACCTCGAGGCTGTGCTGTATCAGACTAGCATTGCGTGCGAAAGTCAGCGAATGGTGCCCGAACGAAGCAGGCAGTAACATTGGACAAAAACGATGCTCTTTATATAGAACAACAGCAACAGCTTCATATCAACAAGGGGGACAATCACTGACATGTCCCTGAGCTTCCTGGTCTGGGGAGATCTTGCCCATTCCAGCAACTTGGCGTTGACGTTGTGGAGAAGCATGCAGCGCGAGCGAGCGAGCAGCAGGTTCCCCACGAGCCTGGCGTATTTTTGTATCGGAACGTCATCCTCCAATCCATCAATCAAGTTGCTCCGCACACGTCGCACCCGCTCGTCCAGCATGTCGAGGCAGCCGCGCAGCGTAAGGGTCCCGCGAAGCACGTTCTGGCGCTGCCGGACGACGAAGCGATGTATCTGGTAGCATTCGTAGCGGACCAGGGCCACCATGTCCCGCCCCCGAGCGCCGGGGTCGGGCCACGGCATGGCTGCTTCCGGGTCCTCGAACAGCGAGCGCTCCGGACCGACCGCTTCGGTGGCGCGGATGTTGAGGAAGAGCAGGTGCTGCCAGCAGTGCAGCCTGGTCAGCCGGCGGCCCCCGGGCTCCTCGGCGGGGCCCTGCCCGCCAGGGTTATCCCGGGCGCCGCCGTCCAGGCCGCGGTCGAGGCCGGCGAGCTGGAACTGGCGCGTGACGGCGGAGACCAGGACAGCGTGGGTCCGCGACACCTCGCTGAGCATCTGCGGGGTCAGGTATATCAAGATGGCTTGAAAGGAGCGCAGGTCCAGGCTGGCGGCGAAGCCGTTCGAGCTCGATATCGCATCCTCGGTGGCCGTCTGGAGCCAGCGCACAAGCGAGGGCTTGGGTAGGCCAAAGACGCGTTGGGTCTCCAGGGGCGGCATGCTGACGGCCGCGGCATACGAGACGGCCGCGCGGAGGGCAACCGCCACGGGGTCGTCATCGCGAAGACCGTCGTCGCCCATCCCGCTGCTCCCATGCCCGTCGCCGGCGCATCTCGCCTCTGAAGGGACGGGACCGAGGTCGCCAGGCAAGACCAGAGGGCAAACCGGATAAACTGAAAGGAAGTAACGGTCAAACAAGCTGCTCTCCTGGGCCGACGACAAGGCAAAAGTGCCCGCGGGTTGCAGAGGATCGCCACTTTCCGGCCACGCCGGTGCGTTGAGCAGTCGCAGGAACGGGGCTTGCGTGTGGGGTTTGAACCAGGACGCGATGGGGGCGGCGAAGCAGTCGACCGGCTCGGCGCCGGGGAAGCCGAAGCCGAGACGGTGCAGCAGCGCATCGAGTTCGCCCACCAAGCCCGCCCTCGGCAGACCCTCTACCCTGTCCGTGATGGTCAGTCTCCCGATACGGAGGCATATGTCGGGCGGTGTGTGGCTATGAGGCTGGCGGGTCTGGCGTCGGTCATGGGGGAGGGACGTAGGCGCGGCCGGCACGACGGCAGGGCGGCTCGGCGCGGGCCCGGAACCGCGCGGGGCTGTCAGGTGAGCCGACGGGCCGGCGACGGGGCCCGGCGGCGGCACGCCGAGGCTCGAGAGGGCGGCCGAGAAGACGCAGTGGCGGCCCGTCTTCTGGCAGTTGGAGCAGGGGCGGGCGCGGTTGCATTTCCGCTTCAGGACCCGGCACTCGTCTTTGCTTGGACCGGACTCAACACGCTATCAGCTGCACGTAAGGGCTCGGGTCGGGGCTCCATGGCCAGAGGTGTGCTCGGGGTTCGGGCATACCACACGTGTTGACCTTTCGGTTACGCCGCTGCCGCGGGCTCTCCTGGGTCGTGTCCATGACGGTCTCCATGATGGGCGAGGAGCGATGCTTACCAGCCAGGCAAGCGATGGGGCCGCCAGTCGGTGGGTTTCTGACCGACTAGCGGCCGCATCCCGGCAGTTTTAAAGCCAATCCATTGATCTTTGGGGGCCGAAGGGCCTCCTCACAGGCGAGATTTGATCTTAAGTTCCACCAGCGGCCGCTAAGAGCCCAAGAATGGCGGGGAGTGAGAGCGGTTGGTGGGACTTTCAGTAACCGAGTAACCTGAAGCTTCGTTTCGCGATTGTGGGCTGTGGCTGCCCTTCATTACATGGTGCCTGCCAAGTGCCTGCCTCGCCGCCTACCAAGTCAGGAAAGATTCGACGACGTTCCAAAAATTCCGAGCTGGGGGCTAAATGTTATTTCCAGTGCCGCAGCAGCACGTTAGGGAGCAAAGGAGCCGTCGACCGCGAACCTAACCAATCGCTGTTGTCTTTCAATCGGCGACCATGCAAATCTTCCTGTCAGGTGGCAGCATCGTGTTGGTCGCTTACCCACCAGCCAGCAACACCTAGCACATGCAGAGTTCTTCTCGCCACCACCAACAAACATCACACGTGGCTCACACCGCTATTGGCCTAGTTGGGTACCTAGGTGCCTAAGAATCTAAGTGGTGTCTATAAATGGACATTCTGTGTAATATCACGCTTGCACCCCTTCCCTATTTTTACCCTTTGTAACATCCCGCATCAGACTCGGTCCTCATCGCATGATAGGGGGCTTACAACTCCCACAAATTTCCATCTTTTGGTTGATCCTGGGAGACTTTGCTTGCAGCGGCTTGTCCTAGGCGTCATGGGAACGTCATTTCCCCAGCTCTTAACACTTTTCGGTACCGCAACTAAGGCCAGCTGTGCCTTTACCATTGTGAGTTACCGATTATTTCAAGGTAGAAAGGGATTGTTAACTGTTAATAGCTGGTGATGATAATTCGCAACCTTTAAATAACAAAAAAATCCGAGTGTATTTGTTTATGAGTGCATTAAATCTTAATTTGTTTGTGTCGCATTCTATGTATCTACTTACCCGGTTGGTATAGTATTGTTATTGGCCCTTATATTCGGTTCGGATTCCGTTTAGAGTGTACATATTCTAAAATTGCCAACACATGTCTCATTGTATACAATACCCACGCGATGTTAAGTAGGCACTTTACAACTCAGCATGTACCACACAGAGCTGCAAAGTCCCATCAGCGAGCAAACAAACCGACTGAACAATCGAGGTTTATCATTTTTTGGTTACAAACCCCACGCTGCTTGCAGGTGAACTGCTTTACAGACATGCAAACTTAACGGTAGGGTTGGCGAGACCCGCAAATAAAGCCCCATTTAGATCCATGGGTTTTGGGCCCAACGGAGGACCAAAACCCAAATGGGGACCCAAATGGGGGACACCAAACTTTCCATCAGAATGCATTTAACATAGCTTTTACGGAATACCGACTGTTCTAATGTAGGATGGGCATGTTAAATACTCTTGATGGTAGGAGATTAGAATCATCGAAAATAGAAAGAACATTGATTGCACCAAAATTTATGTTCATTTGGCCGCCAATGAGCATTTTGTATGAAAACTAAATGGCCTATCTGTCTCGGCTGTGCCTGAGCTAAAGAAGTGTACAAGATAAAAGCCGAGCTTTTGCGCGACCTTGATGGCAGACTTCAGAAAGAAGACCGTATTGTATAAGAGCAAGAAAAAAAAAGACAATCCACCCGATTACATCTCAGTCCACGTCGGGGGAAGCAGGCATCTGAGAATCATCCTCGGAGGAATCCTCCACGGTCGGCTTCTGGTACTTGTTGCCCGAGCGGGCAATGTAGTCGCGGAGCATGGCGCCGACGTCGGGGATGATCTCAAAGTTGCTGCTGACCGACATGCCGGTCCCCGGCCTGGGGGGCGCATTGCCGCCCTGCTGCCGAGCGTCTTGTCCCTGCTGGGTGTGCTGCATCTGCGCCCTGAGCACGCGGGCCCGCCGCTCTTCCTCCGTCTCCGGCTTGGCCGCCGGGAGGCGCGGCGAGGTGGGCTTTGAGGCCTGGGCCGGCGGGGTCCGCGGGGGCTCGGGCCGCGACGAGGTTGCGGCAGCGGCAGCGGCAGTGGTAGGGGCGGGCACGGGAGGAACGGCAGGGGCCTTGCCCTTGCGGGACGATGATGCCTTTGGCGTCGCTTGGCTGTTGGACAGCGCGCGAGGGGGCATACTGGACGGCCTGGCGTTTCCGCGCCGGCGGGGCGGAGAGGACGAGCCGACGCTGGATGGGCGGCCGTCTGACGGTGAGGACCGCCCGCTGCCCAGGGATCGGGGCGACGAGGGGACACTGTTGTTGTTCGGCTGGCGCGTGGGCGATAGAGACGCCTCGGAACTGGAGGAGCGGGGGATCGGCGACGAGTTGCCGCTGCTCATGCCGCGGGGCGAGGACGGGTCGCTGCTAGTGTTGCCGTTGTTGTTCCTGCGTGACCGGCGCGAGGTGCCAGGCGCGCTCAGCGGCCTGGGGGAGATCAGGGATGAGTCCGAAGTCCGGTTGGAAGCGGCCGACATGCAGCGGGGAGTGGTGACGTTGTTGTTGTTATTGTGGCGCGATCGCCGAGGAGAAGGGGACGAGTCCGAGGTGGCGGAAGCGCGGGGCGAGGTGAGGGACGAGTCCGACTCGCGGAACGATGCGCCAGACGAGCCCGAGATGCGCGGGGATAGGGCCGAGGAGCTGGATGCGTGGGGCGACGAGCTCGAAACCCGCGACTCTGGCTGCCTCTTTCTGCTCTGGGCGCTGCGGCTACCGGTGGGCTGCTGCTCTGCCGGCGGCTCCCTGCCTCGCGGCTCATCGTCGGAGCTGGAGTTTTGCTGGTTGCCGCGCCTTCTTCTCCTCTGGCGGCGTTTCGACTGTTGCTGATGTTGTTCCCCCTCGCTTGACTTGTCCCCTTGCGGTTCCCGCTCGATCAGCGGGGGAGACTGGAGTTTGCGCTCCCGAGACTGTGTGCTCTCTGGGCTTTTGGATCGGGGTTGGTCGCTGGCTTCGGCTGGCTGCGGTTTGTGCTCCGCGGCCTGGTCCGGTTGATGTGGCGGCTCCTGAGCTGTTTGTTGCTCTTCGGCTTGAGGTTTCGGCTGTGGTTCAGACTCTTTCTCGAGCGCAGGGGGCTGCGAAGGCGATTTCTCTTGCGGTTGTTGCCCCGGCTTCTGTTCTGCTTTTTGGTCTGCAGTCTTATCTGCCTTCTGCTCTGCCTTCTCGTCTGTTTTCTGCTCGCCCTCCTTACTTTGTTCCTGCGAGGGCTGTGCTTGCTTTTTCTGTGCCTCCTGCTCAGCTTGGGCCTTTGCGACGGCAGCGGCCTGCTCCTCGGGGGTCAGCTCTTCCTCGATGACAGGTCTCCTGGTCCTGACCTCGCGCCGCATCAGCTCCAGCTCGATGACTATCTTGCCGGGCGCCTTCTTCTTGAGCAGGTCACCGTCGCGGTCAAAGTAGAGGCCCCAGACGCCCCCATCCTCGTAGACGGCGCAGAAGCCCTCCCATCCCGAGAGGGTCAGGCGCCTGTCCTGGCGAGTGACGTCCCAAGGGCCGGTGATCTGGCCCTCGGAAACCTGGCGGTTGCCGAAGCGGACCTGCTGCGTCTCGACATCGACAAAGATCCAGTTCATGATCGGGGCCTCGTCCGTGATGGTGCTGACGAGGCCCGAGTAGCGCGCCTCTGGGTAAGGGAGGAAGTAGCCCAGGAAGGGGTGGCCGAAGGGCTGGTCGTGCAGGACGCCAGTGTCGACGAAGCACTGTTTGTTGGTCGTGGCATGTTAGCAGCTGTGACGCCCCATGGGGGGACCTAATCAGGTCATGGGATATGGGATCCGAGGAGGGAATCAAGTAAGAGGCGAGGGCACGTACGCGGCCACCCGACAAGACGATCTGCCTGCCTTCCAGCGTCGGAGTATACTGAGAGCCTTTGGGACAGTGGGCGACAAGGTTCTGTTTGCGGCTCCGGTGCTCCTCGCGGCGCGACTTGGACTGCGAGGCGCGGATGCCCTCGGCGGAGCCGAAGACGGCACCGAAGCCGCCGATGAAGCTAATCATGGTGAGCACCATTTTGGCTACTGCGCGGGCCTCCGTCGGGAGGCGGGGCGGAGGCTTCGTTGGCTTCGCGGTTGCGGTGAAGTGGGCGCTCCAGGCGCTCTCCGATAAGTTATGAACGTTGAGCTATACTAGAAGTGAAGGTAATATCAAAAAGGAAAAAAAAGAGGGGATGGATGATCGACCAAGGGCAGCTTCGGCAGCTTCGGTAAGGACAGCAGAGGAGGTCGCGGCCGAAGACGAGCTGCCTACTCGTTTGAGGATGTCGTGTTTCCTGCAACACGAACCAGGAGCAGATCAATGCGAGGGAAAGGGGGCAAAGGACAAGTCGAGAAGGAAGAGAGTTGGGCAGGTGGTGGGCTGGAAGATGGGATGGGCGGAGCAGGGCTGTTCACGAGACATGACGGCAGGTATGGGCAATGTGTAAATTCCATGTCCCTGGGCCGCCTATTGGGTCATGGGCAGACGTAATAATGGCAGGGCTATTGTGTAGTACTGCACACGACAGCTGCGAGAAACAACATGGACTCGTCTGGGCCTCTTGGTGGCCAGAGCCGCGATGGAGCCGTTGGGCCGTCCGGTGAGCCGAACGAAAACAGAGGACGGCTGCCATTGGGCAGACTCAGGGCAGGCCGGCGCAACAGGGATGGTGGTTGTGCGCAGCCCCGTCGAGCCATCTTGTGTTTCAGGGGGGGCAGCGCCTGGCGGGCGGCGGTGATGATACGGCAATGCAGGCGTTGTTTGTGTTTGGTACTCGATATTGCTCTGCAGCAGCCGCAGCTGTTGCTCGCCGTCTGTAGCGGTGGTGGGGAAAACGGGGGGTGCGGGTCTCACCCCGGGAGTTATTTCAGACACAGCAAAATGGTTCGAGATGACGGGAGCTGTTTCGGTGTGGGTCGGGGCGCCGTCTTTGAAGGGGCTGGTGTGGCAGAGACGGAGATCATCGACAGATGGCGATTTGCTGAGGCCCAGGCTCCAGGCCTCGCGCAGCGCTCACAGGGCACTTACCTAGCACAATAGCTAAAATTGGTGCTAGCCGTGCGCGTCTTGGGTATGCTGTGGGGCGCCTGTCAGAGCCGCAACGCGGGAATCCGTGATGGCCTCATTGTGGATAGTGAATAAGCTCAATTTTGGGCCACCCAAGATTGGACATTGGACCAGAACCGTTGCGCAGCTGGGACCCTGAATCTGGGGCCTGGTTTGGCAGCACGACCCGAATGAGGCGAGCAATTTCGGACGGGAGTAGCGAAAGAGGAAATCAGGGTCCACGGCAGCAACAACACACGATTTTGCTCGCTAGCTGGGTTCCTGTGCACACACCTCTGTACCTCTGTACCCCTACTCTGTACTCTACTCTGTACTCTACCCCAACATGCAGGGTCGGGTCGAGGTCCGGGCTGGGTGCTGCCGACAATTCGTGCAACATGCAGGCGGCCAGGCTCATGTGCGACCCGCCAGAGGGCCGCGGGAGTAACCTCGGCAGACGACAATATGAACATTCCTGGAAAGACGTCGGCGGGCACCTCCTACGGACGGCGTGCGCGCCCGCCCGTGTCGAGGCGAGCAGTTGGGGCAGGTGCATCCGAGAGGGCGGCCGCGTCCGAACGGCGGGCGAGGACAGACAACTCCAGCTCCGGCTCCCGCAGCCGTGCCTAGCGCGGTGCTGCTGCAATAGCGCTGTGCTGCTGCAATAGCATAGGTGGCCGTCGTTAATCCCCTCGCCCCCTCACGAATCATGGGCCTGCAGCCGAGCGTCAATGCCGCCGCCAGCTGAGCGCGACGTGTCGCTTGGAGAATGGGCCCGCTGCCACTGGCTACTCGCCGGGAAAATGGGAAATGGGTACACGCAGTTGGCCATCCATCCACAAAGCCGGCTTCAAATCTTGCATGCTCGCGCAGGCTGAGATTGAAGTGAAGTCGCATCGAGCTCGATCTTGGCGGGATAAAGCCCCGGCAGCTAGGTTCCAGTTGCGGAGTGGGCCCCGAAGTTTTCTTTCCTTTCGTCTTTGTTTTGCTTCTATTTCTTGATTGGGAGAAAGGCTCCTTTTCCCGACTTGTGTGGGGCAGGCTGCGGGAGCCCTGACGGAACCCTGCGCTTGGACGCAGGGACCTCCAACAGCCGATGCAGCCGGCAGGGCGCCTCCCCAGCTGTTTGTTTTTGCGCCCGACCCTGGACGAGTCAAACTGGGCTCATTGTCGCCATCCAATTCAGAGAGGCCGTTGCTTTTACGCGAACCTGACACTTGATGGGCGGCCCGACTGCTGGCAGGGAGCCCACGTTGCGTGTGCGTCTGCTATCTTCTGGTTTCCTGGATAGTGGCTAGTTCGGACGGGAGGCGAAAAAGCAAGGTAGTCAAGTTGAGGCTAGGACACGGCGGGGCGGTCCAGAAGCAATCTTGCAGCATACCCTCGACACGAACGACACGTTGGGTCACGTACCACGGGGTACCTCCCACAGGCTCCCGCTCTATCGTTACACGCCCAACGCCTCGCACGGGGATCATGGGCCGATAAATCGTCCGGCTGTGCTTGTGGTCAGTCCTACGCGAGATGGCAGATGGAGGAGATGGCAGATGGAGCCGTCCAGACCAGCGCCTACGGAAACACGGGGGCGCACAATGTGCAGACGCGCATAGATGTGGCGGTCGACGAGGCCGGCAAAACAAAGGACCAGAAAGGCCAGAAAAGGGCCCTATAGCAGCAGTGCTGCAGCCGTAGCCGTGCGACCCTCCTCCATGCCACCGAGCCGGCCGGCGAGGGCCTGGGGTTTCGCAGTGAGCAGTTGAGTCGTATGATGTCCTCACCCCGACAGCCAGGGCCCCCGGTCCACCCCCACACGCTCCCGGACCGGGGCCCGGCTCAGTAGGGGGCTCCCCCGAGACTGCCAGAGCACCACGACGCGGCGTGCGCCGACGACATACACTGCCCTCTAACCTGCTGGCCTTCCAGAAGCTCGACGGCCAAGGCCGGTCGGAGCCTTACTTGGGGGGCGACGGCAATAATACGTGCCCGGGCCCTCCTTCCCTCGAGCCCTAGGTGCATAAAGAGCCCTGCCCGCCAACTCGTTTGACGATGGATTCTGATCTCTCTACTCAGCAGCAAGCCTCTCCAGCAGCAGCAGCAGCAGCAGCAAGAAGATCAGACGAGTCTAGAAGACCCGCATCCAGAAATCGCAAACGAACAAGTTGGTCTTCCCGCCCCAGCATCACCTCGGTTTCTGCTCTTCCCATCTCCTCTGCTTCAAAACCCCTTCCTTCCGTCGCTCCCCAAAAACCTACTCCCGCTCCCCTGCCACAGCCTCTCCCAGACCAAGAGTCCGAACCAACCCCAGCCGCCACCACGTTGTCCAGCACGCAGAAAAAACGGTCGTCTCGAGCCGGGAAACGATCATCGCGGATCCGCTCAGACAGCCAGACCAGCAGAGACAATAGGAGTGCAACCCCTTCCCCAACACCTCCCAAGACCCCCGATTCCCCATTACCACCACCGGCCTCAAAGCCAGATCCCAAAAGGTCGTCTCCACTTGAACAAGCCCCTGCTCCTGTATACAAGCCCTCTTCAACTCCAACTCCTGTACCTGTAACTGTTCCTCCGGATCAGAAGCAGCAGCAGCAGCCACAGCTCAAGCCAGCTCTGGTACAAAAGCCAGCTCTGGTCCCAGCACCAGAGTCTGAACAGCCAGCTCCTCCCCCTCCACCTCGCAGAACACTTTCCTTCCGGCTCCCAGTCCGAGTAGCATCAGATCACCCAAACTCAGAAGCCGCACCCCAAACCCAGAACCGCAGCAGAGCTCTTTCCCTTCCTGAATCTGAGCCATCTACCCCCGCAACCCCCTCACACGCACGGAGCCAGTCCTCATCCGCCCGGCGTCACTCGCAAAACTTCAACCGTTTCTCCCTTTCCTCCATTGGCGAACTCGCTACTCCGCGTTTCGCGCCAGAGCCGCAAGTCGACCCTATAAGCAGAGTCTCTGACAGCCCTGAAAGCAACTCTTCCACCAACTCTCCCGCCGAACAGTTTCTTCTCGACCGAGGTCTACCCATCGACGTTCCGCTCGAAAAAGTCCCTTCGCCTCTCATCTACCAATCCATCCTCGAGTCCCAACTCAACAACTACCTCGCCACAATGTCCGCCCAGTAAGTCTTCGCGAGCTCTCCCTGTCCTGCCTCGAGACGAGCCCTTGGGCACACGTGCCTCACCTTATCGGCCGCCAAGGACGATCCCGCCCGAGTCACCGACGCGGGCCGAAACCCACCACCATCGGACCCACCCCTTTGACTGACACGGCTTCCCAACCGCAACTCAGGGCCGCCAAGACCCCCGATGTCGCCACTGCCCAGCAGTACCAGCAGACCCCTCCCAACATGAACATGAGGATGCAGATGCCTTCCAACGCTCTGATCCAGCCCGCCCTCCCCGGTTTCTCCGGCACCGCCAACGGCCCCGTCGGTAAGTTGCTGCCTGCTCACCTCCTAGCCCTTTGCCGTCGACACACCCCACTCTGACATGACGTCGCATAGGCAACCTCCTCCGCGGTCCCGTCTCGGCCGACGGCAAGCTCAAGGACGCCGTGCTCACGGTCGGCATCAAGCTCGATCTTGAGGCCGAAGTTCACCTCACGGCCCGCGTACGCGGTGACATCCTCGTGGGCCTGTATTAATCACATTCCGCACACGAGGGTTCACCCCTGCCGTCGCCGCCGCTTTAGGCGGATGACTACAACACCACCAACAAGGAGGAACTCGGCAACGGCCGAGGACAGACAAGGACGTGCAGGGAGAGAACAGAGAAACTGGCTGGAATGATTGGGCCGTTTGCAGATCTTTTTTTTGGATATCTTCTTTTTCTTCCCTTCCCTCAAGCGCGGTGTGGTCCCGCAAAGCATCAACCGGCGTTCGATAACAAGGTCGGTTCGTTGGTGGCTTTTCCTCTCGGCGGTCCAGGAGACCCCGACGAGAGAGCACCGCCGACCCCCCTGGTTCATGATAGGCATTACTCACTCATACCCCCCATTTTCGAAATTGGAATTTTTCTCTCACAAAGGGCGCCGCCTTTCATGGTTCTCACACAATCATTTGCTCTCGTCTCATGGGCTTTTAAGTTTGATGATAGTGGATACCGGGATGGTAATTCTTTGCTCGCAAGAATACTGCGCAGGGGTCTACTCTCTACTCTCCACAGGTACATACTTGTGCTCTAGATCACCTGATAATCCACTCTTTCTCCCATGCCTGCATGTCGCCCTTTTTTTTCTTTTTTTTTCTTCTTTTTTTACCAGTGCTCGAGGTCGTAGCACAGCTCCTCGTCGTAATTCTCCCCGTCCACGTCGTAGTACACCTTGGCGTCCATGAGCGAGCGGTGGCCGAGCAGCACGGCCGAGAGCATGACCTGCGTAAACTTTGGGTGGAAGAAGAAGCAGTCGATGGGCACCGTCCGGTCCGTGCCCAGCGCGAGCCCCGCCACGTCGCCGTAGACCACCATGAGGGAGTGCGGTCCGCGCGGCCGCTCTTGTTGCTGTCCTTCTTCCTCTTGTTGCTGCTGCTGCGGCTGCGGCTGCGGCTGCTCCTGCTCGGCGGCCTCTTCGTCGCTGCTGCTTTCTTCCGAGCCCGCCTCTGGCGACTCGGCGGCCGCCTCTGGCGACTCGGCAGCTGCCTCTGCCATCGGCTCCATCATGGGTGCAGGGGAGCCCACAGGGGGGCTGGTAGCAGCAGCAACCGCAGCAGGGTCCCGCCTGCTGCCGGGGAGGCGCATACCACTTCTCCCGCCGCCGCGGTTGTTGCCGTCGTAGTCGTCGTCGTCGTCGTCGATCAGCTCGTCGCGAAAGACGACGAGGAAGGCCCATGGCACGATGGCGAGGTTGTCGGGCCCGCCGTGCCTCGAAGGACGCGGGTCCTTTTCGCTGGCCATGTGAGTGAGCAGCACGACGCGCAGTGAGCCCACGGCGCCCAGCAGCGGCGTCAGTGTCGCCGGCCGAACCAGCGGCGGGGGCCGCCAGAACTTGTCGTCCTCGGGCGGCCGCGGCACCCGCACCAGCTCCAACGTCGCCCGCCGGCACGCCGCCCCGGCGCCCGCTGTTAGGTACATGCCCGTCGACGTCGGTCGCCGTTGCTGCTGCTGTTGCCGGGCCGCACCCGCCTGCTGCCGCCTGCTGCCGCCCGGCCGCGAGGGGGCTTTTTGCTGCTGCTCCAGCGGCGAGCCGTGGGACATCACCGACGAGCGCCTCGACGCCCCCGACGTCGAGGCGCCGTTGTTGTTCCAGCCCGACCTGGACAGCTTGCGAGAGGCAGTGAAGGCGGTCGTGGGGCTCGGGGACAGCTTGCTGCTGCTCTGGTACCCCCCGTCGCCGGCGCCGGCGGGCCCTTCGGCCGCCTCGTCGTTTCCCTGCTGCCGCCCGAGGAAGAACTCGACCATCTTGTTGGCCCTGCGGCCGCTTCCTACACCGGAACCGGGCGGCGGCGGCGCGCGCGGGACGCCTGCTCGCTAGGCCTCAGCGTCACCCGCCCCGTCGACGTTGGAAGGCCGGTCTCCTGTGGTATTTGACGACTTCTGCTTTTTTTTCATCGAGCCCGACCGCCTGGTTAATTTTTATGATCCACCAAGTACCGGCAAAGATATGGTTCAAAGACATACCTTGTATGTAGCGGACAGGCCTCCGACCACCGCGTCGACAAAGCTCTCGTCCAGGGGGTCAATCATGGCAGCCGACATGATCCTCTCTTTGCGCCCGGCCCGTCCCCGACCCCAGCCGCCGGCGCCAGGGGCGAACCGAGCCGTCGCCTCGCCAAAGATCTTGGCCTCCCCAAAGTAGTCGCCACCGTTGCCGTTCCCATCCCCACCGGCATCGACCTCTTCGTCCAGCTCGTCTAGCTCCTCGGGCGGCAGGGGCTCGCCCGGGTCCATGAGGTCGATGGTCTCGCAGTGGTGGACGTAGCGGGGCACGAGGCGCGGGGCCTCGCCCGACAGGTGCAGCGCCAGGTCCTCGAGCCGGTCCTCGGACATGCCTGGCACCACGCTGTAGAGCGCGAACGAGGCCCGCATCATGCAGCACCCGCCCGCGAACCGGCCCAGCCCCGGCGCGCTGCGCGGCAGCTGCATGTCGATGCCCGTGCGCGGGTCGATGGCCCCGTCGTCGCTGGCGCCGGAGCCGAAGCCCGACGAGGATGGGGAGCAGACCGACGAGGACGAGCTGGCCCGCCCGTCTTGTGTCGCGTCCATGACCGGGGTTGCGCGTTTAGGTATGATGAGCAAGGGTGGAATTTTCCGACGCTCTTGACTACAGAAAGTAAAGCTGAAGTCGCATAGGCATATGGGGATGACGAATAGGTAGATGTCGAACGCAAGTTATATGCGTAACTCCGTGATCTGCGTGGATATGAGGCGATGCATTTCTCCCTTGGTATCTAGGTAGGCACTATAGCGCGGGACCCAATTTTGGAAAACGCTCTCTCACACGGTTGTAACCACCGCACACGGCTGTAAAAAAAACAAGGCGTTATTACACGACAAAAAAGTGCAAATCGTATGGGACATTTCACACGGTATATAGCCCTAACCTTAATTAAAACTAGCATTCTAAAATAACTTTCCTTGGAATGCACGCAGCCTATCTAAAAGATCGATGTTTTGCCAGCGGGCCGAATTTAAATAATACTGGTATGTCCCGCACAGGAAGGTGCCACTAGATTGCCAATACCATGAACGTCGCCTCTTCCTCCTGTCTTGGTAGCACCTCGCTTAGGCACGGCGGCGTCGCTTGCCATGCGCTGAACAAGCTTGGGGGCGAGGTCTGTGCAGGCACCAAGCTTCTCGAGAGGCCCAATGACGTGCTGGAGTTCAGGGCGCTCGGGCCACGTCTTGTTCGTGTCGATTGAGCTTGTTCGTGGGGGAGCTGCAGTCACGTGGCAGGCAAGTCTCCGCCTGGTGACTTCCGACGATTTCTATCGGTGAAACCAAAGCAGGTCTTCCTCAAGATCGTGCTGCCACTACCACAAGCACCAAATCTTAACCACCCACGGCACCCAGCAGTCGTCTTTACACGCACCAAGAAGCCGCTGGCATCATCTCCGTACTCAAGACACCGAACCCATCACCAGACTACTCGATTAGCATCGTCGCTGACAGCTCTCAGAGTAACCCCACTTTGTCGTCCGGCATAGAAAAAAAAAGCTCGTTGGCAACCTCGACCAGCCGCACTAGGACCAGGCCTGGCCCTCAACGCTGCGCCTTGCGCCTGCCTACCTCCTCCTTGACCTTCTCTGCAGCAAGGCGCCATCCGCGCGTCACTTCCGCCCAACTCCGACCTCATTGACGTCTCACGCACGAGTCCTCCCTTCCGACCACGAGACATACTCTCCCACCGGCACCGCCCGCCACAGCCTGAGGAAAACCACGCATCCACCTTGCATGCTCTCGATCTGCCCGAGGCATATCTAGCCGCAACTCGAAACAGCTGCGGAACACTGCACGGCGACGCGACGGACCCGCCCTACCCCCATTATCAGATCAGACACTTGTTGCAATGGCGGACGCGTTAGCAGCCAAGCTCAAGTCCACAACCTTGAGGTTAGCTTTCCCTTGCTGTGTAGCAAATACGCTGCTGTCTGTCTGTCTGCTGGGCTTGCTGACAATATCTAGCGATGGCTCCAAGAGCGACGAGTGGAAAAAGAGCCTGAACATTCCCGCCAAGGACAACAGGCATCAGACTGAGGTATGTGCGGTCGGGCGGCCCTACTTCTCTTGGCAGCGCACTCGTCTCACATGTCACAGGATGTCACCAACACGAAAGGTCTCGAGTTTGAAGACTTCGGACTGAAGAGGGATCTCCTGATGGGCATATTCGAGGCTGGTTTCGAGAAGCCATCACCCATCCAAGAAGAGAGCATCCCAGTGGCCCTGACGGGGCGCGACATCCTCGCTCGAGCCAAGAATGGCACAGGAAAGACGGCCGCTTTCGTCGTGCCGGCGCTCGAGAAGATCAACCCCAAAGTCTCCAAGATCCAGTGCCTGATCCTGGTGCCCACACGAGAGCTTGCCATGCAGACATCACAAGTCTGCAAGACACTCGGCAAGCACCTTGGCGTCAACGTCATGGTCACGACCGGCGGGACGACCCTTCGCGACGACATCTTGCGTCTGCAGGACCCCGTGCACATAGTTGTCGGCACTCCCGGCCGCATATTGGATCTTGCCGGCAAGAACGTGGCGGACCTCAGCGAATGCCCCATGTTCATCATGGACGAGGCCGACAAGCTGCTGTCGGTCGAGTTCACGCCCGTCATCGAGCAGCTCCTGCAGTTCCACCCCAAGGATCGACAGGTCATGCTGTTCTCGGCCACTTTCCCCATCTCGGTCAAGGACTTCTCGGATAAGAACATGATGGACCCCTACGAGATCAACCTGATGGACGAGCTCACACTGCGCGGTATCACGCAATACTACGCCTTCGTGGAGGAGAAGCAGAAGGTGCACTGCCTAAACACGCTCTTCTCCAAGCTGCAGATCAACCAGTCCATCATCTTCTGTAACTCGACCAACCGTGTCGAGCTCCTAGCCAAGAAGATCACCGAGCTTGGATACTCGTGCTTCTACAGCCACGCCAGGATGCAGCAGCAGGCGCGCAACCGCGTCTTCCACGATTTCAGGAACGGTGTCTGCAGGAACCTGGTGTGTTCAGACCTGCTCACCCGAGGTATCGACATCCAAGCCGTCAACGTCGTAATCAACTTCGACTTCCCCAAGAACGCCGAGACCTATCTACACCGTATCGGTCGTTCTGGCCGTTATGGCCACCTTGGTCTGGCTATCAACCTGATCAACTGGGACGATCGGTTCAACCTCTACAACATTGAACGCGACCTGGGCACCGAGATCCAGCCCATCCCCTCGACTATCGATAAGAGCCTCTACGTTTACGAAAACCCAGAAAGCATCCCTCGGCCCATCTCCAACTTCCCAAACCAACAGAACGTGGCTCTAGCTTCAGGCTCAGCTGCCTCCCAACAGTCATCCGCCCAGTCACGGCCGCCTCAGGATAACTGGCAGACACAGAACGGCCGGCAGAATGGTCCCAACCAACAACAACAGCCCCGTCAACCCTACCAGAACAGCAGGAGCAGCGGTGGCACTCGGGGCGGTGGCCGGGGCCGTGGTGGCTTCCAGGGTCAGGGCCAGCAGGGACGCAACCCCAACTTCAGCAACAACTACAGGGGCGGGCGCGGCGGTCAAAACCAAAACCAAGGGGGGCAGCAACAACCTGTGCCGCAATCCTAAACTGTGCCAGCCTTCCGCCCTCGAGAGGGGACGTCCACGATGCGTATCCTGCCGCGTCACTCGTGTCCCTTTTTTTCCCCACAGAATCTGTTGGATTGTAAATATTGCTTGTCCCTTTTTCTCATGCCTTTTCCCTAACCCCCAACCAAGATCCCGCTCTTCGGATCTTATATCTCCTCTTTCCTCCCACAACGCCCTTGGCCACAAACCAGGGCTGGCTTGCCTCCGCAACTCTCAACCACTTTCCATAATCCCGCGACGTCCCACTCTCGGCAACCCAATCACCCCAGTCGCCAGCTTGGGATTCGTATGCTTAGCTTCGAAGCTATCAGCTTGGTTGTTTTGCATCTCCCACATACCCTCGCCGCGCTCTCTTTCCAGCTCTTGTACTTTCCTTCTTCTTTTTACTACCCGTCTCGCGCCGACATACTTCTGTCCAATGGTCGTCGCCTCTTCCATCTTCCTGCAATGACAGGTGGCCAAAGCAAGAAACTGGATATCTTTCGCAGGTTTGGGCCCAGTCCCGAACTTATCGTCCGACTATCTTGGTCTCTCCTCGATCACCACGCTTTGTCGGGCCGAAAATTCCACCCTGCAACATATCTCGATTTTCAGACAACCCGGCAACTCTCCCATGTTCCCAACAGGGTTACCAAGATTCACATAAGCCTTCAGGTTTCGTGACGATGGGTGTGCGCGGTGTCTGCATATGCCGCTCTACTTCTTGGTTCTCATTTTTCTACCCATTTTTGTCCCTCAATATATCAGGCGTTTAGAGGTTTATTTACTATCAGGCGGCGTTTGGTCGGGGATCGAGAAAACCATGCTTCGAAAGGCATTGGCGTTGGTCCTGGAGTGGCTAGGCAAATTCTCTTTTTGGCTTTCTGGTGTTGGGGTTCTTCTGCTTGATTCCGTTGTTATCGGGTGGGATGAAGAAAACGCACTCTTGGGGGGTAAGGGCATCATGATGGCTTCGGACTGTCGGCTGGGGCGCCGACTCCTTGTTTCCGTTTCCTCTTTGACTACTACTCTTCTTTCGTTCCTTTCAGCATACACTTTGTTATCATGGTTCCCGGCGTTAGCGGCGGGCATGGTATTATTGTTGCCTTGCTTCCGACCTTGCCTTCGACGCATCCGCATCGACCAACACCCTCGCCGCGCCGGCGTCAAGCCGCCCCAAGTTCTTGCCATCCACCCTCCGGCGTGTTTCGCTGGGCTTGGTCCTGCGGCACAGCCGGAGGACCGCTTGATTTCGCAACTACTGGATGCGCGAGCTTCACAACATCGAAAAAAGGACACTTATGGCTAATGCCATGTCCACATTTCCTTTCCTCACTTTTACATGCCGACAATTACTGCTCCCTTGCGTCCTTGGCTCCAGCCGATGCATGGGCAGTGCAAAGCAACATCCCCCCAGACGAAGCCGGAATCGCTCCCTCCGACGTCAACATCATTGGAGCAACGAGACCTCAATGGCCATATCCGAGTCTGGACATGGCAGCCTCGGTCCGTGCTGTTTCCGAGGCACGGCAGTCTCAACCTTTGCCGTCACGACTTGGCCTTCTCAGTCAATTTTCAGTTCATGATAGCGACTAGCCTCATCTGCCGCAAGGCTGCAGCAACGATGACCCCGGTCCGTGAATATGGACACAGCAAAACACAAGCGGATGGGAGGGTCAATGTCAAAAAAAAAGAAAAAAGAAAAAAAGACAAAAAAGAACAAAGACATTTTTTTCGGAAGGGATGGGTAACCAGGGGCCCTCAAGGAATTTGTGGTCCATCGAGCTTGCACCACACGAGGAGCTGGTTTGTCGCTGACCTCGTGTACCATCACTCGAGGACATTGTTCTGTCCCCATCGCTGGGGATGGGACAACTGGCTCATCCCCTGATGCCACATTTGGGCTCAAAGAGAACAATACAATGTGATATCTTCCTCCGAATCTGCGCCTTATAATGCATTTAAGTGAACCCCTATCCTGTGACTGGCATGTTGTTCTTTTGGGTTGTGGAGAAAGCCCGCAGCATTAGCTCGAGGTTCAGGCACTACTCGTCGGGCTCCAGGCTCTCGTAAATGTTCAGGACCCGCAGGGCCGTGCCGGCGTACTTGGCGGCTAGGTCGGTGCGGCCGACGAGGTTGTAGACGTGGGCTAGGAGTACTACGAGCTCTGGGAATAGCGCCGGCAGGTCCTCGTAGGCCAGTCCCGCCCGTGCCTGCTTTGCACTGTTCCTGCCTGGTCTCACAGACCCCCACCCACTTCACACTTCGTCATCTCGCAAGACGCGACCGTTTCATCGCGACGCCCGCTCCCTCCACCACACTATCACCTGAGGCCGGGAATGACCGCGGGGGCTCTCCCCCAGCATATGTCGACAAGACGATCACCGGGTGTTAGAGCAATCCTCCAACCCTGCAAGCATGTTGGCGTCGCGGAATAGGTATGGCCCATCAAGAGGCGAGACTAGGTTCAGTCTCGGAGCCCACCATCGCCCGCAACGCGAGATCTCGGAAGATCGTCATATCATCAGTCTTCGGATGGAATGAGCGCCAAGCAGCATTGAAAAGGGCCAGGGTGACGCAATTTAAATCCGAGTGCATGCAGCCAGTGAGGCCGCGGTGCGCGCCTTTTTCCCAGCTGTCTGCCTGGCGACTTGCTCGAAATCAAAGCTAAGCCTAAGCCAAAACAGCAGCGAGCGTCCTCGTAAGTGTCGCTAGCTAGGACAACGATGGTGCTGCCGACAGCCTAGCAAAAACGCAGCCGAGGAAAATTCTATCTCGTCAGATTTTACACACCAGACGTCCCTGGTCGGTTATGTAAGCTAATCAGCGGGTGGGCCAATTAGAGCACCTAATTGCCCTGCATTGCATCCGATTACTTTTTTGATTATATGAAAGTGATTAGATTGCAGGCGATATCCCCTTGAGGGCCAGAACGCCCCCTGCTCTCTTGAACAGGAAAAAGACTACACGAATATCCCCGATCGGCGATTTCTGGTTGATTGAGGCCTAAGAATCTTCAAGCAAGGTCTTCTGGCACACAAGGAAATGGTTAGGCCCGGGGGTGCGGTGGAACCGGGGTGGACATAGTGCGCGCTAGCCTCATTGGTATTCAAGCCTCCACGGCGAGATTTTCCGCCACAGGCAAAAGCCGAGGCCGGCAGGCAACTAAACCCCGGCAGCCACGAATTTGGCGTCTTCAGCCGCTAGGGCAAGGCTCCAGCGTCTGCCCCATCGAGTATTCGCCGCAGCAGACGCCCCGAAAGGAAGCTCGTATTCAATGACGATGGCACGCCCGCCAACAGCCGAGCTTGCGAGCTACCTTCTCGCTGGCCGCCTCGCTAGCCAGGGTTGCTTAAGGCTCCGGCGCCAAGCGGCCGGGAGATTAATCTCGATTCCTTTGCGGCGTGCGCTGCCGGCTCAAACACGCCGACTTCATGCATCGACTGGCACCGAACCCCCACCGCAACCGCCGGCGCCGAGCAGCCCCGCGGGCCCCCTCCGCAAAACACTCAAGGATCAAGCCAAGGCCGCCAAAGCACTGAATAAGGGCAAGAAGAAGAAAAGCAACGCGGACCGCCAGACGTTCCCAGGCTGGGAGCTCACGGTCGGCATCGAGGTCCATGCCCAGCTCAATACAAGCCGCAAGCTCTTCTCCCCCGCACCCATCCCCCCCGCCGGCAGTGCCCCGCAAGCAAACACCCTCGTCGCCCCCTTCGACCTCGCCATCCCGGGCACCCAGCCCGTCTTCCAGCCCGGGACGCTAGTACCCGCCATCCGGGCCGCACTCGCACTCAACTGCGACATCCGCCGCGTCAGCCGCTTCGACCGCAAGCATTACTTCCACTGGGACCAACCCTCGGGCTACCAGATCACCCAGTACTACGAGCCCCTCGCCGTCGACGGGCACCTTGACCTGCGCGCGCGAGACGGCATCGCGCCACAGGACATATCCGAGGATGGGGAGCCCCTGCGCGTGCGCATCAAGCAAGTGCAGATGGAGCAGGACACGGCCAAGACGCTGGCGCGGCCCGACGGCGTACACTGGCTCGACTTCAACCGCTGCGGCGCGCCGCTCGTCGAGATCATCTCGGAGCCCGACATGCACCACCCGGCCACGGCGGCCGCCTTTGTGCGAAAGGTGCAGATGCTCCTCTCCGCCTCGGGTGCCTGCGTAGCCGGCATGGAGCAGGGGGGCCTGCGCGCCGACGTCAACGTATCGGTGCGCCGCGTCGGCGACGCCGCCCTCGGCCGCCGCACCGAGATCAAGAACCTGTTCAGCTTCAGGGCTGTCGAGGACGCCGTCATCGCCGAGCGGGACCGGCAAATCGCCGTCCTCGAGGCCGGCGGCTCCATCGCTGGCGAGACGAGGGGCTGGTCGCTCGGCAGCACCGAGACGCGCCGGCTGCGCGGCAAGGAGGGCGAGGTTGACTACCGCTACATGCCGGACCCGGACCTGGGCCCCGTCGTGGTCGGCGACGACGTGGTGCCGTACCTTCGAGGCACCATGGGCGTCATGCCAGACGAGGAGATGGACGACCTCGTGGCCTCGCACGGCCTGTCCGAGACGGATGCGCATGCGCTCATGCTTCTCGACGACGGAGGCCGGCTCGAGTTTTACTACAGGGTCGTGGACGCGCTCGAGGCGCGCATTGGCGATGCCTCGGGCGCCGTCAACCTTCAGCCGCGCGTACTCGCCGCGAACTGGATCCTGCACGTTCTCGGGAGCCTGACCTCTGAGAACAACGCGCGTGATCGCGCCGCCGGTGGCTTGGAGCCGCGCGGGCTCCAGGTCACGCCCGAGGGCGACGCATTCATCCGCCCCGCCGACATGGCCGACCTCCTCTTCTTCCTGCATTCGGGAAGGATCCGCCAGGGCACGGCCAAGGACGTGCTCTTTGCCATCTTCAATGGTGTCGTCCCGCAGGACTACCTGACCGGCGCGCCCGATGGTGGCGGCATCGAACGGTACATCGAGGAGAAGGGCCTCTGGTTCGCCGAGCTGTCCGAGGACGAGTACACGAGTCTAGCCGAATCCGTGCTGGACGCCGAGGAGCACGTGCTGAAGGAGCTCCTGGGGGAGCAGTACCCCAAGCGCAAGCTCATGTTTCTTGTCGGCCAGATGATGAGGTCGGAGGCGAAAGACCGCTTGGACCCAGCCAGGGTGCAGCGCGTTATGCGGGAGGTTGTCGACAAGCGGATCGTGGCCCTGAGGCCCTGAGGAACTAGCGACGACCCTTGATATTTTCGCGTCTTGACAATAGTCCTAGCTAGTAGTTAATTTGTCCTCTGTCATCCCTCACATCGTCCTTAGATCAAACTCCAGTGTAATTGTGGCTAGGAACCTATGAGCAGTTTAAGACCGCTGCGATGTCCGTCCTCCTCGTGCGGCATCGGGTGTGTTCCGGAGCCGAATCTCTGTATATCCGACGACGAATCTACCATCTCGAACCACTCCTTGAAAATCAACGCGCTTTGCAGGGACAATGAGCCAAAAAATGCCAGCTCCATGTCACGGTAAGCAAAAACCACCACCCAGCTCCCTTCCTTTTTCATCTCAACGTGTGGGGATCCATCACCAGCCGTCGTCTTCGTGGAGTACGAATGGGAATCAGGTTCAATAGGATCCAATCAGTTCCCCAATAGACCGACCGATGGCGCGCGATCGGCTACCAATTCTGGCAGCTTGTCCTCGAAAGCTTCATCCTTGCAAAGGCCGACTAGGAGACCGAATTTGACGCTGTTGCGGCCGGCGTACTGGCGGCGAACTTTCGCGAGCTCCCGGGCAGCCCATACGCATGGATTGGTCTCACACAGGCTGGGCAGGGTGCCCGGGGCTCCCTGGACCACCTCATAGTAGCTATCGAAGGCGTCGTGGAAGATCTCGCCCGGGAAGGCTTCGCCCAGCTCACGAGCGGCTGAGTATTCACAAAAGCCATGTTAGCACTTGACAAATCTCGCAGTTTGTCGTGACTCGGGAGTTCCTACCGGTGATGTAGCACCTCAAACACTTGGTATATTCCCCATGCTTCCTGGACGGCTTGACAAGGAAGTAAAAGCTCTTCAGCCGCGGAAGCGTTCTCAAGTCAGATGCCGCCGCAACCGGGCATATGATTTGCTTCTGGTCGCCGCGAATATGGCTTGCCCCAGGACGCGAATAGCGGAACATATGATTGCGAGTGCCGTACAGTGTCCAGTCGTGTGCATGCTGGTCAAACTGGATAGCGAAATGCTCCACGGCCTGGAGTTTTCCTGAGAATTCCTCTCTCAGGCTTGGATGCCCACAATATCCTCCCTGGTCGAAAAAAAAGTAGCCGCGGCCGATCTCTTGATTGTGGGATTCGAAAACAACCAAATCGGATGCGGCATCGATGACTGCTTTCGGGATACGAGCCTCTTTCTGGACAGGATTGACAGACTCGGTACCCAGCTTGACGTCCAATCGGTTCACCATGGTCCTGCTTACAAGACTCTGGAGGCCGTTGTGCTTCTGGGACCTGGAACGGGTTGAGATCTTTCCGAACACATCCCATTGGCGGTAGGTTGATCTGTTGCGCTCTGCGGAAGGCTCCGACGGTTCGAGATAGACGCCGCACTGGTTTTCATGGACGCGGAAGAAGTGCATGCCGCGCCGGCCCGGCTTGTACGCCATCATCCAGACCATTTCTTGGATCTCGACAGGCAGCTTGAGAAAGTCGGGGAACTTGCGCCCCAAACTCTCCATTTTCTTGTCGCCTTGCGGGCCGGCGTCCTCGCCTGCTGCAGTGTCAGCCGCTTCGCCGGAGGTCGCGGGTCGCGACGCGTCGCTCGGCATGATGGATGGCTTGTCGGAGGCCATGTCGGGAGGTTCTACAGCCTGTAGGAGTTCGCTTAGCATACTTTCCTGCTGCTGCATAGCGGCATGATCTCCATCACGGCGCGTGGATATGCGTCCGAGTTAACATGTCATTCTTACCCTCTGAGCGACAGGTGTGAGTCGTGTCACCATGCGCGCATCATGTTCCGAGCCTGCGTGTTGGTAGGATGTCCAGCGAAGGCAAGGCCTATGTCGTACGTGAAGGAATGGGGACTTCAGAGCTGTGGATCAGGCTGAGGGAGAGAGTGATGAAGAGGGAGAGGAGTGAGGAGAGTGGAGGATAGGTTGCGAGTGCCAGAGGAGAAGAGATGGAGAGAGGCGCAGGTTCTGCAAGATTCGAGAAGCCCGATTAGCAACCGAGATGCGATGCGAGAGTGGCAGAGTATTGGCTTTTAAAGAAGGCGACAACCGTTTGAGATCCGTCTATCTTCGTTGTGGTTGAAGCACGGTCTTGCGTGACGAGAAAATAAAGTGCGGTGCTGTTAAACTTCAACTTTTGAGAAATCGGCTTGTCTTTAACGCTGCTTGTGGAAAAATACATGGCCTGTTGAGAGTCATCTCGACAGATGGAGCCCAGTTACACATCGCATCTCCAAGTGGGACTTGCTCGGGTCGTCAGGACAAAGGCTATGTTTGTCACCTTGTTGGATAAGCATAAACATAAGCCTGATCATATATCTCACGCTAGCAATAACTTGGGAAACATCTGGAGTGGGTGGTCAAGTTGGTGGAGGAGACGGCAACCAAGGTGCCATTTTTATCAACATCTGAAGCACAGCGGCGCCTTCGCGGCCGGGTTGCCGGTACGCCTCTCCCTCCGCTTCACTCTAGAGCGTGGCGCGGTGCCATTGAGGATTACAGCATCTCTATCCGGTCACCTCGTTGACGAAACAAAGTCGTGACCAATCAAGGAAACTGAGTAGCCAGCTCAGCCAAGGTGGGCGAACACCTTAGACAAGGTGGGAAACAGCGGACCCAAAAATCTCAGCCAAGGTGGGAGAAAAAATGGGTCGTTCGGCCAAATTGGGGAATTTTTTAAGCTCCCACCTTGTCTGAGGTGTTCGCCCACCTTGGCTGAGCTGACTCCTCAGGAAATTGGCCGATGGGCGTCACCATCCTGGAACCTTGCAGCTCTCCCAGTCTTTCTCTCCTCTTTTTTCTCCATGACTCGGACCAGCCATCGTGTTCGCTTCATCAGGCCTCGCCCAGCGCCGTTTCCAAACGGTCCCGCAGAAATGCGACGCATGAGCCAAGTGCCGCGTTTCTGGGGTATAAAGGGGTATTCAACCACCAACGGTCCTGAATTACAGGCAGGTCACAAGGTCGTCACGATGCGGAAACCGAGCGTTGAACGCATTTTGGGTGTCTACCGTGGAAGCAAGCCTACAAGTATGCTTGGGATGCCCTCATTGGTATCCGCATGTATTCATATAACAGCCAGCCATGTGGCGGTCTTAAATGAGTCGGTAAGATCGAACAACGATCTCCGCTCATCAAGTTTCCTTGTCTGCCCTGGGGCAACCCAGGGACTGAGCATTGAGGATTGCAAGGTTGTTGCGGGTGTTGTTGGCATTTGTTCCTGGTAGCTGCCCCGGGCATGCGCTTCTTCGCTGCCATGCAGAAAACGCTATCTTTAGGACCAAGATTACCGAATCGGGCCATTGGCCCGCTCCGCAAGGGATGCAACCGTTTCCATACATGTTTCGATGCCGAACAGGGCAAGGAGAACCTTTCGCCCAGTGACCTTTTTTTCTTCTCCGAGGCTTGACTGCAGGGACATGTCAAAACTGTCTGTTTCATCGATCCGGTCAATCAACAGAGGCAGGTACAGGCAGGGGCGTTGGGGCAAACATGTATAGAAAAGGGGAGCGAAGGAAGGGAGCCTCCGTGGGGTATTAAAATCGAGCGCGTCGGCATCAATGTTAGGTTATTCGTTTTGCTGCCTTCATCTCCATCTACTTCCATCTTCTTCACTCATCTCCAAGTTTATCCTTCCCTTCTATTACTGAGAGGATCGTCCGGCACGGCCCCAACCTTTCTCAGCCTGATACCCATTTTATTTGTGCTTTATTCTCTCAATACAGCCTTCTATCAGTACAACTACCTATCAGTTCAACAATCCGTTAATACAACTACCCATCACACCAGCGCCAAAATGAAATTCACTGCCTCCTTCATCGTCAGCTGCCTGGTCGCCGGCTCTGTGGCGCTCACCGTTCCGATCGAGGCCCGGCAGAGCACTAGCGATGTCGTTCCGAGCTCCATCCAGGCTCGTGAAACAAGCGACGCAGCCGTACTTGCGGCTCGTCAGGGCCGGAAGAAGAAGACTATCCCCTGCCTGGCATCGGAAGGCTGCCTCCCCGCGGATAAGTCGGGATAAGGTGTCGGCGACAGAGTTCTGTCCCCCTCCCCCCGGCCGAGGGGCGGCGCGAGCGACACGAGCCATGCGAGATGCCGAAACGGCCACGCGGGCCAGGGTCGGACACGAGGGGGCCCCGGGAGGGCAATGTGGTGGCTGCTAGTCTTTGCGGGAAAATACATTGCATGATCCCATCTCGGGCAACCCATACTTCGCCTCCCTATGCACTCATATTCGCATGTAACGTGACCTGCGCACCTATTGACACCAGGAAGCCAGCCTTTTCAACACCTCGCCGGTACAACCGCCGATAACAAACCTGTCCCCTTGGCCACGGTAGGGTTAGAGACCAGGCCTTCCACAAGCCAAATCCTCAGCCGCTGCTCAGACCGGGTTTTTGCGGCGGGTAATCTTGACATTCAGGTCTGACTGGATGAAAAAGGCAGCGTTGAACGATTTCCAAGGGTTTGTAGGGTCAACTATAGCCAAGTCGAAACGACGGAAAAGCTGGAAAACGTCGGCCAAGGCATCGGTTGCGTTAGCTTGATACCCATCCATTGCACTCGCTCCCCCGACCGCTGACATGGCGTAAAGGCTCACCTCCACGTAGGTTTTGTTCAGCTCGATGAGGGCGATGGTCTTGCCCAGACACTCGTAGCGGCTGCTCGTCTTAAAGTCCATCATGACGGTCTGGTCCATGAGCCGCCACCGCTCCGGACCGGCCTCGATCCAGCGCTCGGGGCGGAACATGTCGGCGTCCTCGCCGAAGACGGCCCGGTCGTGCATGATGGGCCACGGTGCCCACGCGACGTTGGTGCCGGCCGGGACCCGCACGCCGGCCACCACCTCGTCCGCGTCCGACACCTTGGGCAGCAGGCCGGTGGCGGGCGGGAACATGCGGATGCCCTCGCGCACCACGGCCTGCAGGTAAGGGAGCGCGCGGGCCTCGGCGTCGGTGGCGGGCGACGAGAGGCGGCCGGCGCGCGCCGCCCCGTCGATCTCGGCCTGCAGGCGGCCGTAGGCGGCGGGCGTGGCCATGACGAGCAGGAGGGTCGAGCGGATGGCGGTGGCGCTCGTGTCGGACCCGGCCACGATCTGCGTCACGGCCTCGCCCTCGCAGTCCTCGCGGCCCAGGCCGTGCGCGACAAACGAGCTCAGCATGTCGCGCCGCGGCGGGGGTGCCCCGGCCTTGTGGTTAGCGAACCGGTCCGCCACCGCCTCGTGCGCCAGCCCCATGACGTCGCCGATGCCGGCCATGCCGCGCGCGTTGGGCACCATCCAGCTGAGGAGGCGGGACTGCAGGGGCAGGAAGATGTAGGGGCAGAGGGCCAGGGTCATCATGATGGCCATGTTGCTCTCCATGGTGTGGATGTAGCCCAGCGCGTCGGCGTCGGCCGCCAGGTTGCCCAGGGGCTCGCCGAAGGCGAGGGACGAGATGATGTCGAGCGTCAGGTACTGCACCTTGCGGGCGATGTCGACGGGCCGGTAGACGGCCGGCCGCCCCGCTTCGTCGTCGCCCGTGCCGCTCGAGTCGGACGAGAGGTACTTGGACTCGAGCAGGCCGACGAAGGCGGCGACCTGCTCGTCGATGAGCCGGTGCACGTTGTCGACGTCCTTGCCGCTGTAGCCCGGGGTCAGCTTGGAGCGGAGGGCGGCGTGCAGCTGCTCGTCGACGGTGGTGAAGGTGCTGTCGCGGCGCGGGTCCAAGCGCAGTCCCCGGTACCAGACGCCGCGCCTCCACTGGGACCGGGCGGCCCAGATCTTGCGGATCTCCTCAGCGTCGGCGCACACGACCCAGTTTGGCGCCACGCGGACCACCTTGCCTGCTCGCATGCGGTTCGTACGATCTGTCAGCGGGGTTCTAGACGAATATTCAGGGTTTCCTAAATCCAGACAGGGTATAATGCGGTGTAGTTGCTGGTTACACAGGATGTTCGTCAAGGAGGGGGCGCGCCAACCAAACGGGCTGGCTGGGCCGGGATCTGACAGCTGGGGAACGCAGTCTGCATGCCTGCTCTGTCACAGCGGCATCCATTCTTGTCGTATTCCATGCTGTTCGGTGCCTCTTGCTCGGGATCGGGATGGGTCGTTTCTCGCTCTTTCCACAACCCTAGCACAGCGGTTCTCTAGTATCCCGGCCGGCAATGCAGCTACCCCCCCTCCATGGCTGGATATCCCTCGCTCGCGGCCCAGGAAACACATACAGCGACCTGCGAGGCGCCGTTCGGGTTTGGTGGAATAAATTGCCCCAGTTGACGTTGACACGGGAAGATGTAGCTCGAAGGATGGAGAGATGGGAGAAAACAGCGTTTATGCGTCCACGTACCATACTTCCGGCAGACCTCGTCTAGGTCGAGGTTCATACGGCCACCGTACTGGCTGCGAATGAGCCAGAAATCTGTCCATGAGGCCAGCCAGGGCCCGCGAATGTGCCGCAGTCGAAGATAATCTCGCACACGGGCGATGACCGCGAGTAGGGCAAAAGCGCCGATAACCCAGCTCCAGCTAGCTGTGACCTTTGTCCACCCGGCAACGCTTGTGGATCCTGGGAGACCCCAGGGGTCTGTAATTTGCTTCATGAGTCTGCCGTCCTTCTCGGTGTCAAGACCTTTTCCCTCTGTCCTGCTCTACTCTCTCCAGAGTTACTTGTCTCGGGTCGGCCCTTCGGAGATGGGGAACCGAAGACCTGTCTTGTGTGACTTCCGTGCAACAGGCGGCCCCTTGCTTTTTCGAAATCTGCAGGGTCTCGCGGGCGATAAAAGAGCCACGGACGGATGCTTCTGTGGGACCAAGCAGCTGAGGCCGTCGCTTTAGGCGGTGAATGTTAGAGCAAGCTCAGCTCACGGGCTCTTTGCACTGTTGTCGTCCACGCGTCCGTGGGAGGGGGAGATAAAACTGACGAGAGAAGATGGGAAAAGCTAGGTTTGGAAGAAGCCGCCGAAATAATGCAAGCTCAGCTTGCAAGAGTGCAAAGAACACCATCGCATTGAAATTCAAGACAGCAGCTTGGGAACCCCTTGCTAGTCTGGTGAGTCTGACACCAGTAACCCTAATGTGCTTCGATATGCGGACTAGCTTTAGCGAGCAACAGGCGCCTATACAGAAATGGCAAGCAGTCAAGAGATCGTCCATGACTCTCCCGTGTAAAATCCTTGACGAGCAGAAAAGGCGCCGTGGGACGAGGTCATCACGATAGCGGAGACCGGTGGCCAAGGAAGAGGACATCGCCCCCGCCGTTGCTGTCCAGGCTAATGCCACCGACAACCCCACCGATGCTACCCGTCTGGAAGGCCGTGTGTCGATAAGCATCTGGATGTCCTTTCCTAGCGTCTCCAAACGACTAGGACCCGGACGGACGCAAGAGGGTAGCGCGGAGTGGAGGTCGAGATGGCAGGTCCTTGGCACCCGACCTTGCGTCCACACATCGGCTTGTCGACCCCATGATTGGTCGCCCGGATGGGCTTCCCCGGCGGGATGCATGGCTAGCGGGGTGGAGAATAGCCGAATGCCGACTAGCGGACGAGGGGTGTGGTGGTGCCCATGGCTAGCTGCATGGTACCATGGTGCCTTGACGCTAAAACCAGGAAGACAGCATGGCCCAAAGGGTGTTCAAAGGAACTTGCGAGAGCACCCAAGACATCTAGGCGCCTAGATTGGTAGCGCTGCATGTAAGCCTGTGTCGATGGCCAGCGAGATCGTATCATCAATTTGGCACCCTGTAATATCTGGGGTAGTCCCGATAGTGCGGTATGGAATACGCTTGGTGATGGAAATGACAAAAAGGTGTGACGGAGAAAGGAGGCTGACGGCGACAGACCATGCTCTAGACAGTAAAGCCACCCGACTCTTGCAGAGTGATGTGTGAGCCGTAAATTATGCGACCAGCCGACAACCAATACCTTCTTCCATCATTAGCCGCGACCCCCGCAACCGGCATCTTCAGCTCGAATCCCCGAGGTTGAGTCCAAGGCGCCACACACACAACTGGTTCCACTCAGACGGCGGCTTCCAGGGCTGGTAATAAGCTCGCATATACGCCATAGTGGAGGGTTGTGCGACCGTTGGTGCGAACGCGCAGTCGAGCGAACTTTTTGCACTTTTCTTTTTATTTTCCTCGTTGCTTTCCTTCTTCCCTTTCGCCTCGATGCACGCCACCTGGTGTGCCACTTGTGCTGTCCCGTGCTTCCTTCAAGTGGCGGTCAACACGGCCAAGGCGTAGAGGCTGCTCTCCAACCGCCACCACAGTCCTAGCCATCAATACGACATGTAGCTTGCCTGTGCTGGCATCCATCCTTTAGTACACCTTTTTCGGCCGAAATGGGTGGACCGTATGGCTGAATATCATCACACCGGCACGAAGGCCCCACACTGAGCTCAATGGATGGCTATCTTTGAGGAAGATACCATTTTGCTTCTTTTGCTTTTTCTCCAGACTGGGCTTTCCTGCAGGCCAGGAACGGAGGGGAGTCGTTTGCTATGCGGACCTGGGCGCTGTTTAGCAATCCGCGGTGACGCCTAGGGCCGGATCTTCTCCTGTCAAAGCTCCTGGTGATTTGGGTCTATCGGGCGAGTGCGTTCTCCGTGTTTCCGCTATTTCACCTACCGCTTTCTCTCTCATTTTCTTCCCCCATCTCCCTCCCCGCTGTTCTCTCCACGCACATCTTAGTCCCAGCACGGTCCACCTTTCTCCCTCTTCTCACCGTCTTCACAGCGTACCCCGACTTGGCATCTGAGCTGGCTGCCACCGGTTCATAGGGCAGCCCAATCACCAACCACATACCGGGTTATTGACTCGAGAATCGAATTGGTCCAGCTTCGACGTTGGACACGTTTGTGCCAATGGCCGATGAGGTTCCGTCAGAAACCCGGGCCGCGGAGCCAGAAATTGTAAGCATGACTTGCTCAGGGACCTGCCGTCTTGTAACCTTGGACCCCACCAAAAGCTGACCTTACCGTCCCGCACGCTGGCAGGTGCCTGATGTGCAGGACAGCGGCGGCGACGGCGACGGCGACAACGACTCCACCCTGGGAGGGGTACGAAGATCTCTACTTCCCCTGTTCCATCAACCCAGATCCGTTGTGGCTCAGGCTCTGCCGTGGTGCGCGGCCCGTTGGCGAGACGAGCCGCTCGGCCCCAATCAGCAGGGTCACCCCAGAGAGCTTGTCCCAACTCCAGGCCCTGCACTTCGTCGAGTCAGGGCGTGTTAAACATCAACCGACCTGACGGATTTGACGGATGCAGACTGATATGTCGATCAATAGTCCCTTCGAGAGTCGCTGACCTCGCTTCGGTCGAGCATCCTCGCCTACCAGCAGGAAAATGGCCGGACTTACCACGCCATGAGCGCCGGGAGTATGATACCCAATCCAATCAAATGTCATCTGTGCATTATTTTTGGCACCACGTTTCCTCGGTGTGGACTGCTAACACCTGATTCCCGGCCAGAATACTTTCTCCCTAATGACGACGTAGGTCAATCCGAGAGGAAATCCCCTCGAGGAATTGGACAGGCCGCTGATTGACGCATCGTTGTGCACATTGTGCTGCGCTACAACACTATTGAGCTTGCAGGAAGAGATTGAACGGCTTGGTAAGTCCAACAGAATTGACCAGCCAGGTGCAATGTAGGACATGTCTGACCTTGTCTTTCCACCCCACAGATCTCCAGCATCATGTAATGGCCCTCACCATCCAGGGGAAATCCTGCCTCTGCCCTAAGGACGAGGGCGCCCACAGCGTTCTTGATCTTGGCACCGGAACAGGCATCTGGGCCATGGAGTACGGTGAGTAGCGCAAGCCCTTCACGACCTCCACATCGAGGTCATCACTCATGTTCGATTGTTACTAATCCTACTACACTCTTCCACAGCGGATGCCCATCCCGAAGCCGAGGTGCGTATCTTCAGATTTATCCGGGTTTGAAACCCATCGTGGTTCGATACGTTGGAGCAGCTCCTAACAGCACAAACTTTACTTGCAGGTTATTGGCGTTGATCTTAGCCCCGTTCAACCACTTTTGTAAGTTGGTATCTGCATAGGGTCAGGATCCCTCCAATGCGTGCCCGCGACTTCTAACTGTTTCTAGTGTGCCGCCGAATTGTTCTTTCGAGGTAAGCATATCGAAGGGTTCGGTAACAGAAGGGAAGCTAACAATACATATAATCTGCCTGGAAAGATTGACGACCTCGAGAAGGAGTGGACATGGACGAAAAAGTTCGATTTCATTTTCAGCCGAATGATGACTGGGAGTTTCGCCGACAACAGGAGCATCGTCGAGAAAGTTTTCAAGTAGGTACTATGACACGCGAAGCAGCCTTGGAGGTTCCATGTTGACGTGAAAACCAGTCAACTAGAGCCTGGCGGCTACTTCGAAGCGCAGGACATGGTGGTCCCGCTCGGCTGCGATGACGGGACACTCAGCGAAGATGCGCCCCTCTCGCGCTGGCTAAAAGCGGTGATGGAGGGCATGGTGAATATGGGCAGGCCGCTACTATCATCCTCGAAGCAGCAGTGGAAGGACCTGATGGAGGATGTCGGGTTCGAGGATGTGTGCCACGCTGTCTACCGCTGGCCCACAAACCGCTGGCCACGCGACCCGTACTATAAGGAGCTGGGCGCGTGGTCTCTCGAAGCCCTGGACGCCGCCCTCGAGGGCTCCTCGCTCGCCCCCCTCACTCGCGGCCTGGGCTGGACCAAGGAGGAGGTTCTCGTCCTTGTTGCCCAGGCGAGGAAGGACATACGGAACCCCAGGATCCATGCTTACTGGCCCATGTAAGTGGTTCCTCACTCTCTCAAGTTTGATGCGCGGAGAAACAGTCTGTTATATGCTGCTGACGTCGGCGCTGCTTCGATCCAAGACATATTGTATACGGGCGCAAGCCACTCAGTCCAAAGGCGGCCGAAAAGTCACCGTCCCCAGAGCCTGTGCCGTCGTCTCCAGCCCCTGCGACGTCGTCTCCAGCCCCTGCGCCGGCGTCTCCTGCAGATGGCACCTCGACTGCCGCTGTACCCTAGGTTCAAGATCGCAAGTTCCGTTTGGGTATCCTGATTTTCCAATTACTTTTTCTTTGGATATTTTCGCTAGCCGAAGCCAGAGGCGGGGCCTTTCCCGCGCGACGAATAACGAGCTATATGATGTTAATGTACCATGCACACAATCATGGTGTTCGGCAAGCATCAGCCGAGGATATTTATGCCACGTCATGCCTTCCCATTATACATGCCCCCATTCTCTATCCATGATCAATTACGAAACCGAAAACAAATAGTCGTGTCTCTCACTCTTTCAGTCTTCACGCTAGCCTTAGGTAGCACCACGTCCTGGAGCTTGATCGTTTGCTCGTATTTTGCTCGTTTGGGAAACGAGCCCCAACAGCATATTCTTTTTAAAACCCGGCACATCAAGGCCAAATCACCGTAGGCGCTCCAGCCGTTGCTGCCGCTCGCGCCGCTGCTGCGGAACGTGGCCTACTAGTTCATGGTGGTCTCCCCGAGGGGGGTGGCACCCTTCTCGCGCACGCGCACTTTGGCGACGACGGTTGCGTCCCGGGGGAACTTGGCTCCGAGTAGAATAAAGGAACCCCCGGCCGTGTTCATGCGGCCGTTGGCCGCCATGCCCATCTCGAAGGGGAGGCGTGACCTGCCATAGCGCGAGAGTCGAAGGAGCTCTGGAGTACAAAGAAGGATAATGAAGGTGTCACGAGGGCACACCGGAGAAGAACTCCTGCAGGAAATACATGGGAGAACAGCCGCCACCTGGATGCGGTAGCTCGACTGAACAAAACGACGAATTCTCTGATGACAGCGCTCGACGCCGGCTATCCATGACCAAAAGGGTAGGCAAGGTTTATACCGTTTATCTTGCTCTCAAAAGTCCAGTGGATAATACCAAGATCAAACACTCTGTCCATAAACCTCGGCGTTGGGGATTCCAAAGTCCAAACGAGACATGGAGTGACAGAGTTCAATCGGTCTGGTTGAGGAGCCAACACCCCGAGGCACTTTGTATCAGGGAATGCCGGCATGTCTCAGGCTCCGTCCAAAGCAAAAGTCCTGCGTCCAGCCCGCCGTCAAGAATGGACCCCTGCACGCTGACGGCGTCGGCCGCGCGATACTACGCTGCCCAGAGGGCCAGCTAGGGCAGATACATATGTTGTTACAGTGGCATGACATGAGGCTTCCACAGGAGGCAACGGAGGCTGCAGGAATTGGACGTTAATTGCGGAGGAGAATCCAGTCCTCCATTCCAGGGTGGCAGAGGAATGGAACCGGCAAGTACGGTACTGTCCCCGAAGCGGCACAAGGCATGGATGCGGCAATTGCCACCAAGACGATGGCTCTGTCTCACGCGCGATGGTAGGTGTGGTGGCTTGTAGAAATACACCGTGGTGACCAAGACACACATGGCATTGCCTTGGCTTGATCCGGAAACAGATCAGGTAAGGGACAAAGAATTTGAGAGAGTGTGGTGGGGGTAGGCACGAGCAACCCTGCGTGGTGACGAGGCGTGGCCAAGAGAAGGACCAGCAGGAATGTAATACACTAGATTTGTGTCTCGAATTCTCGCCGACACACGACTATTTCCGGAGCCGATGCCGAGGCGACAATGGGGAATAATACCGCAACCCTTCAGATCTCTACCGAGTCGCCGGATCCGGTCGGACGGCTCCGGAGTTGGCTGAACCCCCTTTTGATTGCCGATGTCGGCTCTTTGTTCACTCAGTGAGCTCGATGATTTTGGTGACAGCGTGACTTTCTTGGGATGCTCTGCTAAGCACAGTACCTAGTCAGCCACACGTCACCATTGCCCAAGACAGCCAAGCTCGGCCGGATCTGGGTACCTTTCAGCAAGACCTCTATTTCTAGGGTGATGTCCACGATCGTTGAGGATGTCTATAAATGGGGGCCCCGTCCATCGGCTGGGGGGGACGCGGAAGGCTCGACGCCTTCAGGAAGCGTTGTGACGGCTTACAAGCACAAGATACCCCTGATTTTCCACATTGGTTCACTCCAGGCCCACCCAAACAGGACATCATGGCAGACAATAACGAGTTCGACCCGGACGATTTATTTGCTTACAGCGACGAAGACGACGACGAGATGGGCAATGCAGTGGCAGACGACAACCCTCTCTCCAATGCCCAAATGAAAGAGGGTGGTGGCCCCGAAGTTTACGTCCCTTTGTGCTCTGATCTTAAGGCCAACTACCAGGTTCTCAAAAAGCTCGGGGAGGGGAAGCACTTTGTGGTCTTCAGCGTCTGGGACATCAACGCGCAAAGGAAGCTGGCGATGAAGATTCCAAATGAGCCACTGCCGAGAAAGGGCACGGGAAAGGGGGACCGCAAGGAATACAACAAGAAGGTCAAAGTACTCGCGAAAGAGGTGGACAATCTCTTGTCCATCCAAACGCACATCAGCGAGGGGGATGGCGAGATCTCGCGTCACGACAAAGAGGACGACGTCACGATGACCGCTGCCGAGATGGGCGTCGCGGCCGGCAAACCGGTAACCGACATGATCATCGACCAAGAAGTGTATGGGTATATGATGCACAAGTCAGCCAAGCGCAACTACCGCTTCACCTGGATGTCGAAAGACGCACGCTGCAACGACGGCACCCAAGTGTCGGCAGCCCACTTCGTCATGTGCAACGCCGGCACGATGATGACCCTTCGGGCGATGTGCGTCGAGAACAAGGTCAGGATCCCGGCCGAGTTCGGGGCGAGGTGCATGGCCCACCTGTTCAAGGCGTGGCAGAGCACCGTCGGCAGCCGTCAGAGGGGCATCTTCCAGAACGACTACACCGAGGCCAACGTGTTCCTGCACTCGGCCGACTCCCGGCAGTACCCCGACTGCTACCTCGGAGACTTTGGCGACGGCGTCGCTCACGAGTACGCGAGCGTGCGGTGGCGAATGGAGGTGCTGGAATACTTCAGGAAGCTCGCCGGCCGCGAGGTGCTGCAGCCGCAGCTCGAGCACGCGAGGACGCTGCCGAGGGACGACGACAGGAAACTCTGGCTCGCGATCCAGAGCGTGATGAAGAAGTTCCTCAAGGAGCTGGAGAGGAAGTACAAAGATGGAGCGGCCGCGGAGCTCGTGGGCCTCGTCGACGCCACCGCGAAGGAGTTTGTGGGCCTGGAGCGCGAGGCGGCGCAGCTCGAGCAGTCGAACGTCCTCAAGGCCCGCTTCCTCGAAATCGTGCAGCGGCTCAAGGACCCAAAGTGCGACATTCTGACATTTCCAACCAGAGCCGCCTGCGTACAAGCGACGAGGGATGGTGGCCCGCTCTATGGTTTGCCAGATAATTGCCGGCCAATTCAGCTTCAGGAATATGGTAAACTTTATTGGCTTGACGATTCCTCCGAAGAAGACTCCGACAAGGTGTAGAGTCGAGGGCTGGCTATCTCCGCCTGATTTGATGCCCGGCCAAACGGGCTGTGTTGATGGATTGTCTACTTTTGATTGGATTTTTCTCCTTTGTATTGGATCTGGCTGTTACCTCCTGAATTTGTCTCTTTTACTGCTGGTATAACTTTAGGGCCTGTCATTTGGTATCTTGTTTGTATTTTGATGGCTCAATGTCAGTTTTGGACTCTTTTCTTTTGGATAGGCGGTAGCTGGCGACATGGATAGTTGCTTGTGGTCTTGTCATTCCCATTTCGGTGGTCGGGCTGTGGATTGAAAGTATGGCTCCAGGCTGAGAGGCAGGCCAATTCTCACTCGCCCCCAGAAATACATGCGTGTGCACCGATGCTGTGTGGCCCACCCTGCGTGGCGCTATTGACCCCAATGCAGGGTCTCCCCCCGGCCGTGAGCTGTGGTGCGGCTGACGATGGTGGAGCTCAAAGCCGGCTGAGCTTTGCTTTTGCGGCCCAGCTGTGGCGGGCGGAAGCCCCTGAGCAATTCCCACATGGCCTTGCATCGCGTCGAGGCCCTCGCTGACCGGGGGTTTTCAGCCGCGCGCAGCCCCGAGCTACTAGTACGTGCCAAGTCCAGCGGGCGTGCGGCGCTTTGATGGATGGAGGGAGACACAAGATCACACCTGAAATGAGGGTATCCTGACTCTCGTTCGTGTTAGCCTCCTCCGTCGAGCTTCCCTCTCGTCAGACTTAAAATCGCTTCAGCCCACCAACGAGAGAAATCATGTTGTGCCTGGGCAGCACCCTCCAGTCATTCATTCTCCGCCTCGGGAGCCTAGACCTGCTATAACACAGCGTTGCAGGTGTCCAAACAACCCACAGGGAAGCTATTCATACGGTATCGAAGATGCGTACCAGCATGAACCTGATCGGCCTCCTGGCCGCGGCCGGGTCGGCCGTTGTGTCCGCCTGTGTCCCGCCGGCCACGCCGCTCCCGGACACCATCCTGGAGCCATTCCGGATCCAGTACCAGAACACGTCCTACCCTGCCGTCCACAAGCTGCACCTCAACGCCGGGCTGGCTGGCGGCGGCGACCGTCACCTGTTTACCGACCCCGTCGGCGACAAGATCTTCAACATGACGCTCGTGGACGGCGCCATCACCAACACCTGGGCCGAGGGCACCCTCCGGGCCGTCATCGGCGGCGAGCACAGCACCATCGACAATACGGACAAGATTTTCATGACGAACCGTGGCGACCCGGTCGCCGTCTTCAAGCCGACCTGGGGCTGCGACCCCGACACGGACCAGCCACAGGTCGAGCTGGTGTTCCAGGGCCATCGCAAGGGAAGCACGTTTGTTCCTGGTGGCTGGTACTGCATCCGGCCCACGTATGATGGCGCCTACGAGTCCCGTTACTACCCGCCGGGTAACACTGGTGAGTAGCTGCTTTGTTGATCGCTTCCACTTCGTCATATGATCATCCGCTAAATAGTAAAACACCCAATCCAGCCAACGACCCCAACAAGTTCTGCGTCAAGGTGACTCTGGTCGCCCTGGTATCTCAGGCCCCTGTCGCCTCGACCACTACCCAGACGTCCACCACTTCTGCGACCACGACCGTCACCACCTCCTCCACCCTTCCGACCACCACGCAGACAACCACCACCTCGGCCACCACAACCGTCACCACCGCCTCCCCCACCACCCTCTCGACCGTCACGACAACCGGCCCCGCCAACCCCAGCGCGACCGGCAAGTTCACCGACATGACGGCGCAGGGGTACGCCTTCCAGGGCTGCGCGCCCGAGGAGCGCACGGCCAACGACGAGCCGGGCCGGACCCTGGGCGGACCCCGGTTCAGCGCCGACGACATGACCAACGAGAAGTGCTTCGAGTTCTGCGCCGCGAGGGGCTACAAGCTGGCGGGCACCGAGTACCGCCGAGAGTGCTACTGCGGCAACGCCCTCTTCAGACCGACCCGCCAGCCCGCCACCACGGTCGCCAGCCTGGCCGGCTGCTCGTACCCGTGCGCCGGCAACGCGGCCCAGTTCTGCGGAGGCTCGGCCTGGCTGAGTCTGTACAGGAAGTGCGAGGCTGGGGAGACGTGCGTGAACGCGCAGTTTACATAAAGGGCGGGACTGCACACGGCTCTTTGTGCTGATCGGGATACTCCTGATTTACGGGGTTGCAGTTGGAGGCTACCATTGGATAATTTCTAGATAATTTCATGATTGATGGCTGCAACCAGAATTTTCCATCATTCTCTCGTCCCGTCCAAACTCGCCTGTGTTCGCTCAAGTATTGGACGTGAATCGACATAGATGGATGTCTGTAACAGGAGCAACTAATACCCAACGTGGCAACCTCTCTAAATGGAATGCAGTAGCCAGCCACCTATCGAGATTCCACCTGCATCTCGCCAACCCTTGGAAAGACAAAGGCAACCGGGCAACAGCCACAGATAGTTCGTATCATCAACTGCAGGTCTATATTATGTACATATGACTCGTTTGCGTCATGACCAAGAGCAAGGAGGCGCCCGAGAATGTCAAATACACGTAATGCGTGGGATAACATGGGTAGACAAAAAAAGAAAAGAAAAACAAAAGATGCGTGTCATTAGAGTACACTCGTGATAAATGAGAGGAATTGGTAGACAAAGGACAGAGTTCCACCCAACGATATGTTCTGAGGAACCCGTCGAGGTAATTCAAGAAGAAGAAGAAGAAGAAGAGAAGAAAAAACGTCAAGTCATGGATGCGTTAACCTCCTCCTCGTCCAGGAAGCCCAACCCACTATCATATCGCCTCCTCTTTGTCGTCCTCGTAGGCGAGGCAGGCGCCGGCCCGGCTGGGGACTCGGAGGACTCTGCGGCATCGTCGCCGAGACTGGCGACACTGCTGCTCCTCCTCCTCGCCTTGCCCGCGTCGAACAGGCCGCCGGCCCGAACGGCGGGCGTGGGCGTTGCGTCCAGAGCACCACCACCACCCCCGAGGGCTGAGGCAGGGGTGCTCCGCGGCGGCCTCGCGGCGGCCTTGGGCGTGGCGGCGGTTAGGAACTGCTGCCCCATGGCGACCACCATCTCGAGCTGGGCCTTCATGGCGTCGACGGCGGCCACGGCCGCGTCCTGCTCGTCGCACAGGCGGTCCTCGAGCCGGTCGGCGTCGGCGCGCAGGCGCGCGATCGTCTCGTGCGCCGCGCGCAGCGCCTCGTTGACGCGCTCGACCTCGGCCCTGAGCTCGGCGACGCGCGCGTACGCGCAGCGCCAGCTGGCCCGCCCCCGTGGTCGGCGTTGAGGGCGCGCGTCTCGTCGGCGTGCGTCTCGGGCCCCGCCAGGGCCGCGTCGG